TGTCTAGACGTCGGTCATGCATTTGTTTGTCGTCTGTCTGTCTGTCTGTGTTGAAGTCTCTCCGTATGTCTCTGTCCTGTCTTTTGCCGTTAGTTTGTCTAGACGTCGGTCATCATTTTACTTGTCTGTCTGTCTGTCTGTCTGTCTGTGTTGAAGTCTCTCCGTATGTCTCTCTGTCCTGTCTTTTGCCGTTAGTTTGTCTAGACGTCGGTCATGCATTTGTTGTTGTCTGTCTGTCTGTCTGTGTTGAAGTCTCTCCGTATGTCTCTGTCCTGTCTTTTGCCGTTAGTTTGTCTAGACGTCGGTCATGCATTTGTTTGTTGTCTGCCTGTCTGTCTGTGTGTTGAAGTCTCTCCGTATGTCTCTGTCCTGTCTTTTGCCGTTAGTTTGTCTAGACGTCGGTCATGCATTACTTTGCCTGTCTGTCTGTCTGTGTTGAAGTCTCTCCGTATGTGTCTCTGTCCTGTCTTTTTGCCGTTAGTTTGTCTAGACGTCGGTCATGCATTTGTTTGTCGTCTGTCTGTCTGTCTGTCTGTGTTGAAGTCTCTCCGTATGTCTCTGTCCTGTCTTTTGCCGTTAGTTTGTCTAGACGTCGGTCATGCATTTGTTTGTCGTCTGTCTGTCTGTCTGTTTTGAAGTCTCTCCGTATGTCTCTGTCCTGTCTTTTTGCCGTTAGTTTGTCTAGACGTCGGTCATGCATTTGTTTGTCGTCTGCCTGTCTGTCTGTTTTGAAGTCTCTCCGTATGTCTCTGTCCTGTTTTTTGCCGTTAGTTTGTCTAGACGTCGGTCATGCATTTGTTTGTCTGTCTGTCTGTCTGTGTGTTGAAGTCTCTCCGTATGTCTCTGTCCTGTCTTTTTTGCCGTTAGTTTGTCTAGACGTCGGTCATGCATTACTTTCGTCTGTCTGTCTGTCTGTTTTGAAGTCTCTCCGTATGTCTCTGTCCTGTCTTTTGCCGTTAGTTTGTCTAGACGTCGGTCATGCATTTGTTTGTCTGTCTGTCTGTCTGTCTGTGTTGAAGTCTCTCCGTATGTCTCTGTCCTGTCTTTTGCCGTTAGTTTGTCTAGACGTCGGTCATGCATTTGTTTGTCTGTCTGTCTGTCTGTCTGTTTGAAGTCTCTCCGTATGTCTCTGTCCTGTCTTTTGCCGTTAGTTTGTCTAGACGTCGGTCATGCATTACTTTGCCTGTCTTTCTGTGTTGAAGTCTCTCCGTATGTCTCTGTCCTGTCTTTTGCCGTTAGTTTGTCTAGACGTCGGTCATGCATTTGTTTGTCGTCTGCCTGTCTGTCTGTGTTGAAGTCTCTCCGTATGTCTCTGTCCTGTCTTTTGCCGTTAGTTTGTCTAGACGTCGGTCGGTCATGCATTTTTTGTTTGTCTGTCTGTCTGTCTGTCTGTCTGTCTGTGTTGAAGTCTCTCCGTATGTCTCTGTCCTGTCTTTTGCCGTTAGTTTGTCTAGACGTCGGTCATGCATTTGTTTGTCTGTCTGTCTGTCTGTCTGTGTTGAAGTCTCTCCGTATGTCTCTGTCCTGTCTTTTGCCGTTAGTTTGTCTAGACGTCGGTCATGCATTTGTTTGTCGTCTGCCTGTCTGTCTGTGTTGAAGTCTCTCCGTATGTCTCTGTCCTGTCTTTTGCCGTTAGTTTGTCTAGACGTCGGTCATGCATTTGTTTGTCGTCTGCCTGTCTGTCTGTTTTGAAGTCTCTCCGTATGTCTCTGTCCTGTCTTTTGCCGTTAGTTTGTCTAGACGTCGGTCATGCATTTGTTTGTCTGTCTGCCTGTCTGTCTGTCTGTGTTGAAGTCTCTCCGTATGTCTCTGTCCTGTCTTTTGCCGTTAGTTTGTCTAGACGTCGGTCATGCATTTGTTTGTCTGTCTGTCTGTCTGTCTGTCTGTGTTGAAGTCTCTCCGTATGTCTCTGTCCTGTCTTTTGCCGTTAGTTTGTCTCAGACGTCGGTCATGCATTTGTTTGTCGTCTGCCTGTCTGTCTGTGTTGAAGTCTCTCCGTATGTCTCTGTCCTGTCTTTTGCCGTTAGTTTGTCTAGACGTCGGTCATGCATTTGTTTGCCTGTCTGTCTGTCTGTCTGTGTTGAAGTCTCTCCGTATGTCTCTGTCCTGTCTTTTGCCGTTAGTTTGTCTAGACGTCGGTCATGCATTACTTTGTCTGTCTGTCTGTCTGTCTGTGTTGAAGTCTCTCCGTATGTCTCTGTCCTGTCTTTTGCCGTTAGTTTGTCTAGACGTCGGTCATGCATTACTTTGCCTCTGTCTGTCTGTCTGTGTTTGAGTCTCTCCGTATGTCTCTGTCCTGTCTTTTGCCGTTAGTTTGTCTAGACGTCGGTCATGCATTTGTTTGTCGTCTGCCTGTCTGTCTGTTTTGAAGTCTCTCCGTATGTCTCTGTCCTGTCTTTTGCCGTTAGTTTGTCTAGACGTCGGTCGGTGCATTTGTTTGTCTGTCTGTCTGTCTGTCTGTGTTGAAGTCTCTCCGTATGTCTCTGTCCTGTCTTTTGCCGTTAGTTTGTCTAGACGTCGGTCATGCATTTGTTTGTCGTCTGCCTGTCTGTCTGTGTTGAAGTCTCTCCGTATGTCTCTGTCCTGTCTTTTGCCGTTAGTTTGTTCAGACGTCGGTCATGCATTTGTTTTGTCGTCTGTCTGTCTGTCTGTTTTGAAGTCTCTCCGTATGTCTCTGTCCTGTCTGTCTTTTGCCGTTAGTTTGTCTAGACGTCGGTCATGCATTTGTTTGTCGTCTGTCTGTCTGTCTGTGTTGAAGTCTCTCCGTATGTCTCTGTCCTGTCTTTTGCCGTTAGTTTGTCTAGACGTCGGTCATGCATTTGTTTGTCGTCTGCCTGTCTGTCTGTGTTGAAGTCTCTCCGTATGTCTCTGTCCTGTCTTTTGCCGTTAGTTTGTCTAGTCGTCGGTCATGCATTACTTTGCCTGTCTGTCTCTCTGTCTGTCTGTGTTGAAGTCTCTCCGTATGTCTCTGTCCTGTCTTTTGCCGTTAGTTTGTCTAGACGTCGGTCATGCATTACTTTTGTCTGTCTGTCTGTCTGTCTGTCTGTGTTGAAGTCTCTCCGTATGTCTCTGTCCTGTCTTTTGCCGTTAGTTTGTCTAGACGTCGGTCATGCATTTGTTTGTCGTCTGCCTGTCTGTCTGTGTTGAAGTCTCTCCGTATGTCTCTGTCCTGTCTTTTGCCGTTAGTTTGTCTAGACGTCGGTCATGCATTTGTTTGTCGTCTGCCTGTCTGTCTGTGTTGAAGTCTCTCCGTATGTCTCTGTCCTGTCTTTTGCCGTTAGTTTGTCTAGACGTCGGTCATGCATTTGTTTACTTTGTCTGTCTGTCTGTCTGTGTTGAAGTCTCTCCGTATGTCTCTGGTCTGTCTTTTGCCGTTAGTTTGTCTAGACGTCGGTCATGCATTACTTTGCCTGTCTGTCTGTTTTGAAGTCTCTCCGTATGTCTCTGTCCTGTCTTTTGCCGTTAGTTTGTCTAGACGTCGGTCATGCATTTGTTTGTCGTCTGCCTGTCTGTCTGTGTTGAAGTCTCTCCGTATGTCTCTGTCCTGTCTTTTGCCGTTAGTTTGTCTAGACGTCGGTCATGCATTTGTTTGTCGTCTGCCTGTCTGTCTGTGTTGAAGTCTCTCCGTATGTCTCTGTCCTGTCTTTTGCCGTTAGTTTGTCTAGACGTCGGTCATGCATTTGTTTGCCTGTCTGTCTGTCTGCCTGTGTTGAAGTCTCTCCGTATGTCTCTGTCCTGTCTTTTGCCGTTAGTTTGTCTAGACGTCGGTCATGCATTTGTTTGTCGTCTGCCTGTCTGTCTGTGTTGAAGTCTCTCCGTATGTCTCTGTCCTGTCTTTTGCCGTTAGTTTGTCTAGACGTCGGTCATGCATTTGTTTGTCGTCTGCCTGTCTGTCTGTGTTGAAGTCTCTCCGTATGTCTCTGTCCTGTCTTTTGCCGTTAGTTTGTCTAGACGTCGGTCATGCATTTGTTTGTCTGTCTGTCTGTCTGTCTGTCTGTGTTGAAGTCTCTCCGTATGTCTCTGTCCTGTCTTTTGCCGTTAGTTTGTCTAGACGTCGGTCATGCATTACTTTGCCTGTCTGTCTGTCTCTCTGTGTCTTTTGCCTTTAGTTTGTCTAGACGTCTGCCCTGTGTCTGTCTGTCTCTATGGCCGTGCATGTGTGTCGTCTGTCTCTCGCTTTTGCCTTGTGTCTATCTTCCATCTGTATCGTATGTCCATAAGTCTTTCTGATCGTCTGTCCACGTCTCTGGTCAAATATGTTCAAAAATATGTTCACAAAAAAATCGCTGAAGTGTTTTTTGCAGATACGTTTCATTGGATAACGTCTATTTATTATGACCCAAATTCCACTCAAGCGACCGCTCATTGTACCTATCGATGCACGCCTGTAATCTTCTTAAGGGAAAGGAACCAATTGCAACTACGTGAGGTCCTATCACGACTACCTCGACTCTTGAGATAAACCACATGGTGCCTCACGCAAAATATTTTGTTCGGAATATGCCTCTGTTCACCCAGCAGTAAATGGGTATCCGGTAGAAGATGGCAATGTGAAAAAAATATTTTAGCAAGGGATACTTGCGTAATACATACATATACCAGGAAAAGAAAATTAAATACCAAGTCCAGTACCGCAGTAATAACTTGATCTATCATGGTTCATGGTTCAGGGGGTTCGAAACACCCCCTTTGAAAATGACCAAAGACCACATTTAAGTTGATGTTTTGCATTGGCGGAGCCAAGGGGGGTGTGTGTGTGGGGTGGTGTGGGTTGAACCCAACCCCTGGATCCGCCCATGGGGATTCCAAGGTGTTCTTCTCTTTTTTCGTGATTGGTGAAACATTTGAGTCTAATATACTACTCAAAATATGTTAAAGAACTCCGTTTTTTTTCCATATGACTCCAGCTATTCTGTGACTACACATAGCCTTCCAATCGTGGGTGTTCCTTAACTTGATTTAAGTCGAATTTAACCTTCGAAAGTACAATAAAAGTTTTGTAAATTAATATTGCTTTTATTTATTTCCTCACCATGATTTTACAATAAATAAGTGTATAACATCTTGCAACAACCTACATATATCATTGGAAAGACATTTGAAGTATAAACATTCATTAATATTCATTGTTGCAAACATAGACAATTTGTATTTTTTGTTGTTCAGCTGAACAGGTCAGGACATTGCACATTCCAGAAAAAAGTATAACATATATATATATGTACAGTTTCATTTTGAGACAAAAACTTAAACATAAATCAACTTGAGCATTGTAATCACAGGTTCATGAATAAATAATTCTTGCATTAATGTCACGTTGTCACACATTCATGGGGAGGATCACACCTGTTATGTGTCACTTTCACAGGGAGTTCATGGCCGGAAGTGGGTTCGAGATTATGCTCCCTTTGAGCATGCGCTGCAACCGCATGTTTCCGGTACGTTGTAGGTCTTGGTGATCTTCCTTCCAGTACCGCAGACAAGCTGGATAGACTTGGATACCGTCTTTGCTGGCTGGCAACACAGGCATTTGTTGTCAAAGCCGTGCATGAGTGCGGTGTAGCTGGAAGTCGAGCCGCAGTAGCCTGCACATTCCTTGAGTTCTGGGATTGGTTCCACGTTGGAGCAGATCTCACCGTTGTCATTGACCTTGAAGAAGCCAATGGACTGCTGGATCTGTCCGAACATCAGTCTTGGAGTGCAGGTCTGGCATACCGAGGTTAAGTTGGTTGGTAACATGTCTGCAAATACAACAATCAGAGTTTGTTAGTAAGGGCACGTTTCAAACAACCCAGATAGCATTCGGACGTTGGCCCAACGTTGGCAATGTTGGCAAAACCATTGCCAACGTTGGGCCATCGTCTGAATGCAATCTGGGAACCCATATGTGCTGTTTAAAGCTACACCCAACACTATTTAAATATGGCTCAGGCCTAAGTAATCAACTCCAGATCTTACAAACAGGTGATCGATATTATAATCCACGGGAAGCAAACCACGGCCTCTAGTAACTAAGATATTTTCGATTATCTCGGAGACATCTGGCATGAACTTACTCACACTCTATAACATATTCCCTACTAATCTGAGTCAATCACAGGTAAGCATCCCATAGTGGCTCTTTGGTGTTCTTTTACAATCGTCATTGCTATACTGCTATACCTAGAAGCGTTTATCCGAACTCAATCACGTTCTTTGTGAGATGAATGTAGTACAATTCAACACTGCAAATCCCTTCGGGTTTTGTGTAATGATCTCCGTACTACTGAAGTAAGGTTCGTATCCACTAGATTCTTTTCACTCACAAAACGATTACATCGAATACATCGTTGTAATTACTACATCTATGGTATTATCAATCACCCACCTTTAGGCACGCATCTGAGACAGCATCCAGTAGAATCGTAGGCCTTTTCGCTCTGTGAACACAGAATGTAAATGTCAAAGATGAAGTTCATGGAAACAGGTCGCCCTATCAACACTTACTAAGTCATCTTAACACTAAAATGCATGGCAAACGAGCAGATATTGGAACATTTAGCTACCTCCCCAACCTATGAGGCCAGGCCATGTTGACATATCTAAAAGCGCTGTGCTTATTAGACAAAAGGACAATAGAGTAGCCGAGCTGTAAATGTGGATCAGCATGGTTCGATCCCTTCCATTTTGAACATTGGTGGAGACGACGATGCAGACCCACAACCCACTACTTGGGCCCAAACAGGTTTAAATGTTAGGATTGAGTGCGTCACTAAGCCCATTAAGGTGAGGCCAAGGAGAAAGGAACTGAAAAAGCTAATCTGGTCGAATCTGGGATTCGAACTCATGACCACCTGGACCGCGGCTCAGTAAGGTGGGGGAGACCCCTGCTACGTAATACATCTACTATTGATCACTGGATTGTCTGGTCCAGACTCAATTATTTACAGAACGCCGCAGTATAGCTGGAATATTGCTGAGTGCGGCGTAAAACTAAACTCACTCACTAATACATCAGCTGGTTATTGTACATACTCCTGTGCACTGGGGCAGCTTGTCGATATTTTCACACTGTATTTGGGTTTGCTGGAGGATGAAGTCGCCTGTCATTATGTCAACTGTACACATCTTCTCGAAACACTTCATAGAAGGCTGGATCTTCTCTCCGTTCTGTTGAATATAAAAATTGTGGAAAACTATGAATATATATTCATATATTCGTGAATATATATAGACATATAAATTTTGACACATTCAATACCTTTAATTACTGTCCAGTGCCAATAAATGTCCATACTTAAAGATAAATTTTACGAACGTTTTGAGTCACTAAATGGTAATTGTTAAAATATGATCACATCCGATTTATTGTAATGACGTTGACGTACCTTGTAAACCGTGCCGTTGACAACGCAACCAATCTTAGCACATTCTCCACAGCAGGTGCCGTCGGTCAGACGTCTCTCTTCTCCCTGGGAACATAAACAGAGGTAAATGTATCGTCGGAAACTAGTGTCATGACACTGTGTATCGATGCAACAATGAATTTAAATGAACAGTTCAATCTTGTGTTACACGTAGTTTCCGGTAAGTTATGAGATTGGCATATGTCAGCTTTGTACAAGATGAAATGCTTACAGTGCCAATAGGTTAATCAAAGTAAATCTTCGAACATTCAAATCCCATATACTGTTTCGAATTAATCTTCAGCAAACCATGCTTTTCGTAAGATTCGACTAACGGGATCGGGCTGTCAACAGGGGCGGATCCAGGATTTTAGAGAAGGGGGTGCACATCAATCATGAAGTCCAAAGGTTAGGGCGAAATGCTCCACAGGGAAATATTTTTCGGGGCAAAGGGGGAGGTGCGCACCCCCGTACCTCCCTTCTGGATCCGCCCGTGGGTCGGGCTGGATTAATTGTTTGATGTTTGATACTTGTCGTATCCCTGTTGCGCAGAGCATTGCTGATGGTATTAAATAACTGCCTTAGCTTGACCAGACCCTATTATTTACAGACCGCCGTCACATGGGAATATTGCTGAGCTCAGCGTTACACATAGAACAATTACATAAATCGAGGACGACTTTACTATGACCAACACTTGGTCAGTTCACTAACCAGCTTGCAGGCTGGACACCGTTGTTCCCGACATGTTGTTTCTGCAGTACTACTGGTGCTGTTGACACACTGGCAGGTCTTGCACAGACCATCCGCCCATTGCTGACCAACGGTGTGGGTCACCTCCACTGGATTAGTACGATCCACCTCCTTACCATTGGTCACCATCTTGGTCATTGAGTATCTACAGATTGGCGTGGGGATGGCTGTGGTCACCACAGGGAAGGGGCTCGGGGTGCCAGCAACTGTGGGGACAAGAATCGGATTGTAATATTTCCAGAAGGTGCAGTACATCATTAGAACCACTTTTGACGGCAGCGTGCGAAATTTATATTTAATGTAATTCAAGCGGCATGGATGTAATTAAATTATTGTTTAGCATAATCATCACTGTTTGATATCATCGTTGGCATCTACACCGAAATGTCGCATCTGTTGTGTATCCGTAAAATATATTCCTCTTCATCACTGATGTCAGTGATCTCATGTAAGTCCAGCTGTAAACTTTCAAATATTGGTATTTAAGACATTTTCAAAAGTGAAATACGAAACCCAAATATCTTGATGTTAATAATAAACAATTGTACGATGGGGAGTCTGTGCAAAGTTTTGAATTATGGTTTCAACCAGACTGATACTTGTTTTATTCTTGTCAACTATATTTAGTCAAATATATTAAGTATTGTTAAGTCTACTTACCACATGCCTTGGTTGTGCAGTTGCAGCCACCAATGATGTCCACGACCTGGGATCCCTGTAACAAGGCAGAGGCACGGCATTAGTCACATATAGTGTCTTAGTGAGACGACCTACTAAAGGAACATAAGTTCTGTTTCTGAAGCAACATAAGACTGGTATATTAAGACCTATTACAGTTGACAAGGAACCTTAAGCTTTCAGTCGAGGCTTTTTTTGAAGGAACATGCTTGTAAGGCATTGCAGGCACTGGCATTAGAGTTTGCTGATACTTACGAAAGCACATGGTGGTTGAGTTGGAACTGGACACTTTGGTGGACATGCTGAAACAAAAGGATGTGCCGTCACAATCTGTCTCATACATTATGTATTTACATAATCACAAATTGCCATTACCATACCCTTGGAAAATGTAATGCTTGAAAACATTAATCCAACTGCTGAAAAGATGTTTCGCAGTTGTAGGTCCAACATTATTTCTTTTTCTCTCAATAATATTCTTTTCCCGCTATCCCAAGATGTTTGCCTTTATTGGAGCTGATGCTGGACTTTTAGCATGTTCATTGTGGTAGACCATATCCAGTATCGCACAGAGACAGGAACACATAAACTCACCACAAGTGTACTGTGGGCAGCACCTGTCGCCGCTGTCGACCATGGTGAGGATCTCGGGCTTCATGCAGTCCTTGGAGATCTGTGGACATTGACGTGGCTCACAAACAACCAGATACTCCTCACAGCATCCATCCGAGCCCTTGATGACCTTGGCGACCTCACCTTGTTTCAGTGGAGGCTGAACAAGGGGAGAGCACGTGACTTCGACACAGGCAGCTGAAACAGCAGAATTTGTCTGTCATACAGAGCCTGAAACGAATATATCCAAAAAAGCCTATGCAAGATTAGAATATGTCTAGATTTCCACAGTTTCAGAAAATGAAGAACGTATCTGGGTTTCTTTTCATTATATTTTATGATTTTTTTATGAACAGGTATTTTTTCTGTAAAATATATTCATTTCAGAGAAAAGATGCAAGTCTACAGCAGAGTATATGGCATGTTTTAATGTTCTCGTGACAATGTGGTTTATGGGTATCTTGGAGTTTTATCAATTAGAAGGCAGTGTGCGTATCTTCAGACACATTACACCCATATGAGAATACAGTAGAAGTGTAAGTGCCTGACATATGTTCAGTGTTTATATCTCGAACATCAGACTTACTTGGTGTAGGCACGTGTGGTGGAAGATGAACGGTGGTGTTGGGAGCAACGCTTGTTGTCACTGTAAGAGAGTTCAGACGAATTAGTTGAAATAATATATTTCTTTTTAGTAATGACATCACATATCACACCGCTGAAAAGTATTTATTTCCGAAACGAGTGAGTGAGTTCAGTTTTACGCCGTACTCAGCAATATTCCAGCTATATGGCGGCGGTCTGTAAACAATCGAGTGTGGACCAGACAATCCAGTGATCAACATCATAAGCATCGATCTGTGCAATTGGGAATCGATGACACGTGTCAACCAAGTCAGAGAGCCTGACCACCCGATAGCGCTTACTGGATATTTTCTATTTGACAATTTATTGAGTTGTTGTCAACAACATTTTGCTCACATACAAACATGAACTAGGATACTTACCAATCTTATGGTGCGTGGTGTTGAAATCATTGAAATATTGTGTAGTCGACGTGGGCGTAGTTGCTTGTATCGTTGTAGATGGTTTTTGAGTGGTCGGCAGTGTGAAGATCGGTGTCGATGCTGGAACATTCGATACACGTCTGTGAGAAGGTCTGAGATGATGATCTAGATGTTCAAGAACATTTCCCCCTAACACACACACACACACACACACACACACACACACACACACACACACACACACACACACACACACACACACACACACACACACACACACACACACACACACACACACACACACACACACACACTCCACCATCCCATAACTGAAGCAATGTAAAGGACGAGGTCATATCTGGATAACTTACAGCATTCGAACTCATCGGTGGTACAGTCGGCGACACCATCACATCGGGCAGAGCTGGGGATACACTGGCCATTTCCGCAACGGAAGTCTCCAATTGCGCATGCCTCACACTCGCATTCGCATGTATCCTTATCCAGAACGGTTTCGAGACCCTGAAACAAACAGACGGGTTACTCAATAATCACATATTTACATCGTGGTATCCTGGCTTGAGGCGGTTGGTATAACAAACATCACGATTTCCTAATATCAAAATCAGTGAGACCCTTGATAAACAGACATATGCTAAAATGTGGCATTATGGTTTTGGGTAACACCAAACAATCTCTTAATTGACGAGATCTTGTGGCAATCTAGAGCAAAACGTCCAAATTTTGGAATCTCGTTTCAGTTTTAAACATGGATATAGACGGTTTTTGTAAATTGTTTGGTTAATACAATGTGTGAAATCATACGAAAGACAACAAGTAAATATATAATTATTATGATTTACAGTAACTGATACTGACCTCTTTGCAGTCTGGACAGGTCTTGGGGAGACACTTGACCTCGCCGCTCACACACTGGCAGGTATCACAGTTGCTGTTTTGGGTGATTTGACCAGGCTGCGGAAGGAAATAATAACCCATAACACCAACCGCAACGCATCAAGGAAGTGAATATGTATATTGTAGTCTATGGAACATCATTAAATTAACGCCTGACGTTTAGATTGGTTGGTGTCTTGTTTAATGCAGCTATATGGCGGCGGTCTGTAAATAATCGAATCTGGACCAGACAATCCACTGATCAACAGCATGAGCATCGACCTAAGTACCACTTAAAGACATTTTATCCTTACTAAGTACTCCAACATTCTATATGCCTCTCAAAGAAGTTATTTACCAGAACAACTTGTCCATCAATCATGCATGGACACTCGGCCTTGCGGACACACTTGACTCCGTCACAGAAGAAGCCGCTAGAACAACCCTCCTTGGGGCACTGACTCAGGTCCATTCCAGTGTAGCAGGGGATGAGGTTGACGTTGTAGGTGGGGGAGACAGACGGGCCGGCGGTGGGTGTGGCGGTGGGGATCTTAGACACTGGAACAGTATAGTGGTGGATGTACATCAGTGACTTGACAGACTTTTGTAAAGAGTTCTGTGTATGTCATTATTCAAACAGCAATGTTTAGACCTTCGGGGTTAGATGTTTAGACCTTATGTTTAGACCTTAGGTTAATACAGAGATCAATACTCACAACATTCCTGTGTCTGTTTCAGACAGCCAAGTCTGACCTCGTAGTCGAAGCACATTGGTTCCTTCTGATCAGCGTTGTTGCACACAAGACCTTTCCACAAATTACAGGTTACCTTCTGACCTGTCTCACCGGAAGCGGTGTGGTCAGGGGTGGCTGTTCGGCACTCGATGCTCATTGGCTGTTGACATGTCAGTGATGCCTTCTTGACCTCGTCGATTGGTTCACGGTCGCCATTGGATGTCAGTGTCACTTGACCAAGGTTGACCCATGAGTCCCAGATGACACATCCGGCTAAAGAAAAATAGTGCATTGGCAATTTTTAATTTAATGTAGTATTTTAGCTACATAATAAATGTCATCAAAATGTAGGCTTCACAAAGTTGGTCCAAGTGTGGAATTTAACCCAGATTAAACAAGCGAACTCTTTAGCCACAAACTACACCATGACAATAAAAGGCGAGTCAGAATCACCTAGTGACGTTAGGTTACTGTAATGGACATTTAACATTGGAATACAGGAAATTCAAGTGGTTGCGCAACAGTGATAACAAATTTGCAACATTTTAAACTCAATATTACAAAGACTATATTTCTATAGTTTGGCAAGTCTATTAAAAAGAAATAAAGATCACCTCTCCGGTAATTTTCCTTTGAGTGAACACTGCTAGTTTCCATTTTATATATGATAGTTTAATGCTTACCTGGAAGGAAGGGTGTCACTGTCTGACCTGGCGCAACGGTGGAGGAACCGATGGGTTTGCCTGTTGGTTTCAGGGGGGTTCACTGGCGTTTGCGACACAGCTGGGGACAAAATCAGGATAGAAGAGTACAGGCATAACGACTGAAGTTCCTTCTTAACATGAAGGTTGATTTGGATGTATATCTGGCCAAATATTACTCTCAGCATTAAAGGTAATGTCCTTGACATTTCACACATGACCACATCGTAAACTAAATATTCTCGTTATACAGAAGTAGGTTTCCCTTTTAGGGACCTATCGACCCAACTACTACACTTTGGTCATGCGTAATTGGAGTTAACCTGAGATTCTATGATCAGCGGATCAAATCAGATAGGGGGCGCAACTCTGCTCTAGAGGATGTAGGAGCCTTAAAACCGCATGGCCTCCGTCATCTTCTATCAATAAAGGAAGTGCTATGTAGTTCTTATATCTGTATGCCACTTACTTGGGTAGCTCTCGAAGCATCCGTGGATCTCGAATCTCAGGGCCATCATGCCGCTCCATGTCTGAGGGCTGATCCTGACATAGCGGGCTCGGATTGGAGTCATGAACATGTTGGTCACAGGAGTCTCGTTGTCGAAGTTGCCGGAAAACACCTGACAATGAACAATGAGTATGGTTGTAGGATTATTCTATCGCGGTGGGGTTCACACATTGTAACCAAGTTGGGAATTGAACCCGGACTTTTGGCGTGACATGCGCACGTTCTCACCACTAGGCTGTCCCGCTGTCCTCGTAGTGATAAATTAGCGATTTTAATGATTATATACAATACTTGTTGAATCAAGTTCTGGAACGACTTGGATGAAAATGTAATTGAATTACTGTGCCTCAGTCCACAACAAAGCTTAACCCAATGTACCAACCTTATCCTCTCCCTTTGTCTCTCTGTAGGCATTCCAGTTGGCACCGTCGTAGGAGTAGAAGACCTTGTAGGAGGTCACGTAGCTAGGAGCAGTCGGTCGTCCCTGAGTGGTGACACCGGTGATGATTCTAGGAGCGAGGAAGTCAACCTGGATGTATTGCTTCTTGTTCTCTTCAGCAGCCAACCAGGCGCTGTTACCTCCAAGACGTGCACTGATGGCAGAGTGGAGGCCGTCGCGGTAGGAGGAGGCGGAGATCATGTCATTGCGGATGAAGCCGTTTGCCATACCCATGTCTTCTTTGCATCCAGCTGACAACACAGAGAAAATGGTTAGTTGGGTATGGTGTTTTATTTGCCTCGACAGAGAATAACAGCGCCTAAGATGATCGGGCGTCCTATGAAATAAGGCTTAGTATCTAAATGACTAACCTGGTATGTTTGGTGTTGGGCTGGCCGTTAGTTGAACTCCGGGGCTTGCTGTTGGGGTTCCACTTACTCCTTGCCCGGGGCTTGCAGTTGGGAGGCCACTTCCGGTTTGACTTGGTGGGCTGGCTGTTGGTACACCTGTGAAAGGGTAAATGATTCTTTCTTAAACAATTCACATATACACGCATGTGATCGTCCTCTTGTTTTCAATGGTGTCATTGTATTAATTTCTAGACCGAAGCTATTTATCTCTTGGGATGAGGCGTTACGTACCAGAGCAGTCACAGTGGTATCTGACTCTGTAGTCACTGCAGGGGATGGGGAAGTTGTCTTTGTCGTTACAGACGAGGCCGTTCTCAACTGAGCACTGCATAATCTCCCCAGTACTGTAGGATGGAATACTGTCTACAGTCTCGCATTCTACCTTGTCCACTTTGCCAGTGGGACAGAAATCCTGAAAACAACGGAAAAATGTATACATTACACACACTACCAAATACATCATATTCGTACAAATACATCAACACCATCCCAAATGCATCCTGCATTATTTCAAATGTACAAAGCACTCTCCCAAACACATCTTGTATCCTTCCAAATTACTTAAAGCACATTTTCAAATGTAAATGTAGAAACATCAATTGCTCCTATCAAATACACCGGACCCTGAAATACACCATTACCCTGTCATGTATCCTGACAAAGACACAAGGACATACACTGGTATGGTCTGATGCCGCTAGTACTCACAGTAAGCTGCTGCTTGGTCATAAACTCATGCTGTCCTTCTGTGGCCGTGTTGGTGTTGACCCAAGAGGACCAGGAGCTTGTCACGCAGGTCTGCTGAGGTGAAGCTGTAGGACCTACTGAAGGACCAGCAGATGGCACCAGGGTAGGAAGTACCTCCTCGGGAGCTACAAACAACAGGGTCATTTCAGCTGGGATAGCAGATGATGTCTTCTTCTGTTGCTCATTCAGATACATCACTTCATATCAGATAGAAGGGGACATGAGTGTCCATATCCTTCAAAGCGAGATTTGCTTTCCTTTGTCAAGTCAGGGTCCAGGCTTCAAAATAGACTTTCACCCAGAACATGTTCCTTGATTTGTCAGGACATGCACTTTTAATCCAACGATTAACATCAAAGCTGTTTTATAAATGATATAATGTGCAACAGACATTGATCTCGACACTTTCAGTAAAAAGGTCCTTTGCTGATGCAATGAAACCATAGCAGCTGAATCATTCCTTCCCATTGTTACGACTACCTTGTTTTTTACAGTTCAAGGAAGTATACTTTATTACTAGGGTCCTCTGTCAGAAGTACACTACACAACTTACCTCTGCAGCCAACGATGCTGAACCTGAGAGCGATTGCTCCTTCCCACATAACTGGTTGGATTCGGATGTACTTAGCAACAATTGGGGTCAACACTGATCTCACAGCACTGTCTCCGTCAAAGTTTCCGTTGAAGACCTAGCGAGACACAACCGGAGAGTTGATAAGCTTCAAATCGTTATGCATTTAAAGCTAGAGATGAACATTTCATAAAATATTTATTTTATTTAGCCATATGTCATGCGTATTGATGTTACATTGATGATCAGTACATGTTAAATCTCCCGCTACCAGATCCATTGGATGTTCGCCTAATTCAATTCGGTTGGTGATTGCTCGTTCTGTTACGCAAAGGCCACTGAAAAAGGTTATTCTTTCGACTTTTTTCAGCGAGTGAGTATAGTTTTACGCCGTTTTAGCAATATTCCAGCACTATCATGAAGTAACCAGAATTGGCATCACATATTGTGTACATGTAGGGAATCTAACGAGGGTCGTTGTCATACTTCGCGAACACTTAAACCACTAGGCTACCCCACCGCCCCAACGTTTTTAAGAATGACACAGATGGAAACAGTTTGATCATCCGTACAGCGTAAATGGGATGAGTCGTAACGCCAGTACCTTAGGAGTGCCTGCATTCTGTTCATAGTACTGGAAGGTCTGTCCATCCATAGAGTAAGCAATTATGAATGCCTTCACCCACTGTGATGATCCCTCACGTCCCTTGGTGATAATAGCATTGATATATTCAGGGTGGTCAAATCTGGCTTCAATCCATTGTCCTTTGTCCATTGACTTGGGCATCCAAGCTCCGATATTGAGATTGTCAGATATGGCATCAATTCTAGATCTTTGTGGTCCTGCATATGTGGAGAGACTGGAAGATGCGCTGAGATGGCTGTCCGGTACTTCTAGAGTGGCAGTGTTGGTCATTGGATTTGGGCAGACTGAAGGAGAGAAATCCCATGAGTAAATCTAGGACACATGACGTGACGTGTGGCATATTTGGAATGTGTCCTTTGTACACGGTGTAAATGTCTTCAAAACATACTTACTGAGCACTGGTGTTGTGGTTTGGCCAGCAACTGCTGTTGTCTCCATGCCTGGAGCCACACTGAATGATGATCCAGATACTGGAAAATGAGAGAACAGTACGCAGTTTCATTAAGGAACCTAATACCTATTTGAATGTAAATACAAGCTTGATAGAAGGTGGATTGCCAATTATATACATAGCACTTTGAAGAAAAATATTAGCAATTAGTGAACTAGTAGTACCTGGGCTGGCTGTTGGAACTCCGCTCTGTCCTGCACTTGGACTGGCCGTTGGCTGCCCGCTCTTTCCTGTAACAACTGGGCTGGCTGATGGTTGACCACTCTGTCCTGCACTTGGGCTGGCTGTTGGAATACCACTCTGTTCCTGCAATGGGGCTGGACGTTGGCTTACCACTCTGTCCTGCACTTGGGCTGGCTGGCTGGAAGACCCTGCACTTGGGCTGGCTGTTGGAAGACCAGTCTGACCTGCACTTGGACTAGCTGAGGGAACACCACCCTTTGGTGTAACACCTGGGCTGGCTGTGGGCTGACCACTCTGTCCTGCACTTGGGCTGGCTGTTGGGAGACCACTCTGACCTAAACTTGGACTGACTGATGGTTGTCCAAGAATACTTGGTGTACCAGTGGGAAGACCGGTCTTTCCTACCACTGGAATGGCAGTTGGAAGGCCACTACCGCTCTGTCCTGCAGTTGGACTGGCCGTTGGCTGCCCGCTCTTTCCTGTAACAACTGGGCTGGCTGATGGTTGACCACTCTGTCCTGCACTTGGGCTGGCTGTTGGAAGACCACTCTGTTCTACAATGGGGCTGGACGTTGGCTTACCACTCTGTCCTGCACTTGGGCTGGCTGTTGGAAGACCACTCTGACCTAAACTTGGACTGACTGATGGTTGTCCAAGAATGCTTGGTGTACCAGTGGGAAGACCGGTCTTTCCTACCACTGGAATGGCAGTTGGAAGGCCACTACCGCTCTGACCTGCACTTGGACTGGCCGTTGGCTGACCACTAAGGCCTGTGCTTGGCTTTGATGTTGGCTGACCACTCTGTCCTGCACTTGGACTGGCTGTTGGCTGACCACTAAGGCCTGTGCTTGGCTTTGATGTTGGCTGACCACTCTGTCCTGCACTTGGACTGGCTGTTGGCTGACCACTAAGGCCTGTGCTTGGCTTTGATGTTGGCTGACCACTCTGTCCTGCACTTGGACTGGCTGTTGGCTGACCACTAAGGCCTGTGCTTGGCTTTGATGTTGGCTGACCACTCTGTCCTGCACTTGGACTGGCTGTTGGCTGACCACTAAGGCCTGTGCTTGGCTTTGATGTTGGCTGACCACTCTGTCCTGCACTTGGACTGGCTGTTGGCTGACCACTAAGGCCTGTGCTTGGCTTTGATGTTGGAAGACCACTCTGTCCTGCACTTGGACTGGCTGTGGGTACTTTAGAGCAATCAACACCCTTTGGCTCACACAACACTCTTACTTCATAATCAAAGCATGTGCTTCCTACCATCTGCTTACTATTACTGCACATAAGACCGCTGTATTTCATATCACATGTTACACCAATCTGGCCAGATTCCAAGACGGATTTGAGTGTCTTGCTATCTCTGCATTCTACAGCTGTGATGTCTTCAGTGTTACAGAACTGGAACTGTTGTCTGAGACTTGGAAGCAATTCCATTTCACCAGTATTGTCAGGTGTGTTACTATTCATCCACTTTGTCCAACCACAGACAACTGGTGCTGCAGTGGAAGACCAGTCTGTCCTGTGCCAGGACTTGATGTGGGCTGACCACTCTGGCCTATACCTGGGCTGGCTGTTGGCTGACGACTCTGGCCTGCACTTGGACTGGCTGTTGGCTGACCACTAAGGCCTATGCCTGGGCTGGTTGTGGGCTGACCACTCTGGCCTGCACTTGGACTGGCTGTTGGCTGACCGCTCTTTCCTGTAACAACTGGGCTAGCTGATGGCTGACCACTTTGTCCTGCACTTGGGCTGGCTGTTGGCTGACCACTCTGTCCAGCACTTGGGCTGGCTGTTGGCTGACGACTTTGTCCAATGCCTGGAGTAGCTGTTGGCAGACCGACCTTTCCTGTAACTCCTGGGCTGGCTGTTGGGACACCACTTGGCCCAACACTTGGTCTTGCAGTAGGCAAAGCGGAACAGTCGCAGAACACTCTCATTTCGTAGTCAAGACACTTTCCATCTACTTGTTTCAGATTATTGCATCGGAGACCACGTATAGCATCACATGTGACCGACTGACCAGCTGCAGATGCCATCTGTTTGGTACCTGCTACTCTGCATTCAACCTTCTTCATCATTTCGTGACTGCAGACGGTGGTTTTGGTCATGAGGGAAGCAATTGATTCGATGTCACCCTCGAATGGTTTATTTGGAACAATAACATCAGGATGATCAGAGTTAGTCCATGCTGACCATCCACAGAAAGGAGGTGAAACAGTTGGCTGACCTGTTTGTCCGCTAGGGATGGCAGTTGGCTGACCTGTTTGTCCGCTTGGGCTGGCAGTCGGCTGACCAGTTTGTCCACTTGGGGAGGCAGTTGGTTGACCAGCTTGTCCACTTGGGGAGGCAGTCGGCTGACCAGTTTGTCCACTTGGGGAGGAAGTCGGCTGACCAGCTTGTCCACTTGGGGAGGCAGTTGGCTGACCAGCTTGTCCGCTTGGGGAGGCAGTTGGCAGTCCAGATTGTCCAGTTGATGGGGATACGGTTGCTGAAATCACATAAATTTTGATACTTTATAGGCGCATTCCTCTTTTCCTAAACTACATTTTACGATCACGCAATCAACAAATATAGAAAATATTTAACCGTATTCATCACTGACAACCATACAAAATATATTCGAAATAATGAAAAGAGACAACTTTTAGATTTGACTCACATGCGCACGGGCAGTAGAAGCGGACCTCATAGTCGCCGCAAACTCCGCTGTTCTCCCAGTTGTAGCAGGTAAAGCCAGTAGTGAGGTCACAGGTAACCTTCTCCCCAGACTCCATTGCTGATGTCTTAGAGGATGCCTCGCGACATTCAATGCTGACGGGATGAGCACAGAATGTGTTGGTGGTTCTCAGTTTCAGGATTGATTCAACATCACCATCGCCAGTTGTTGGCTTGTCAACGTTGATCCAGTTGGTCCAATGACACTGTGGTTGAATGGTTGGTTGAACAGATGGTCCAGCTGTAGGAACACAACTATCATCCTTTGTGCAGACGGCAGCGTTGTTGAAACAGTGGCACATTGAACACTCATCAAGAGGGTTCTTGTAGAACTCGAAGGGCTGAAAACCAATATACCGAAAGGTTTCAAGATATGTCCTTTTTTATCTCAAGAGGTTAGCTATTCTCGAAACGTTCGTAGCCCTAAGAATTCTTAAATTTGACCGTAGCCAATGTGTTAAGAAGCTTAAGAAGTTCTTAGGGCTACGAAGGTAGCAGTAAGTGCCATATCTTAACATTAACTTACGACTATCTTAGCGCTATCGAGCTTCGACAATCAAGGCCCAGGTTAATATACACAGTAACATAACTATTGTATGAGCAAATACCATATTTTGTTATTTGTCTTCTTTTCAGTCGACGAATCCTACTTGGTAACATCATGCAGAATTCTATTGAATACATGACACGTTTTATGGATAACAATTTCATTTTATTCTTTATACGACGTTTCAGAGTTAACTCTTGCTCCTTCATCAGAGTAAGTGCACAAAGTGAATATATATGTGTAAACATGTTTTATAAATATATAGAAAAAAAAAGAAGTTGTTATCCATAAAACGTGTCATGTATTCATGTTTGTCCAACTTCAAAATGCCTTTGAATAACTTCAGAATAATATTACAATATTTTTTATTTCTTTTGGGATAGTTTTATTCGGTTTCGAGTCATGAACACCATTGGCTTTTAACAAGGTAGCTGAATCTAATTATGACTCAAATCATGCATAAGCTATAAGAAAATGAAACCCCACCTGAGCAAATGTACCATCGGGTTTCTTGCATGAACAGAATTCTGCCTTCACGCACTGGCCGTTGTAATTGAGTCTCTCGCCATCGGCACATTTAGGGACAGTGATTGTCTCGTCCTTGCAGCCTGGGACACATTGTTGGGGGTTTGTGCCGTCGCAGATGTCGCCGGACACAGCGTTGCAGAGCTGGTCACAGGTGTGGGCACAGGCGTTCCACATCTCTCCGGGAGGACACACAGCTGGAAGGACAGATGTTGATATATTCTACACATTCAGCTGAATGATCCTCTCAATTGTCATTCCAAAAGGAACAACATGTATGTTCTTGATTTCTTGGATTGGCACTTTAGAAGTTGATGGATAGTTGATGAAATACGTTTCTCTCACATATAAGTATACTGTTGTGTTCATTAACGTATTTTTGACTGGTGTGTGGAATAGTGATCACCAAAAGTTGTGCCAACCCACAAGTTTGTGCATGCTATTGCTGGAATACTGCCTCCAGCATAAAACTAAACTCATTCACTCAATCATAACAATACAGAAATGCCAGGGACTCAGTGTAAATGTGTTCATGTTTTTGAATTGGATATTCATATAGCGCACACATCCATGCGACTAGTACATGCTCAAGGCGCTGGTATTTTTTCCTCGATCATTGGATGTCAATCTCAACGGCACATCGTATTATCAGTCTCAACTCCCTGGGGATCATACAACTCTTGCATCCACTAAGCGCACCAAGTTATTGCGACTTTCTCATCCTTACGAGGTACCCATGTGGACTGGGACACATAGTCACAGTACTTTGTCCAAGTTTGTTACAGGTGTACCCCGCAACTAGGTGTTTGCACGTATTCATGTGGCCAACATCTGGTCATATACCAACGGATTCGTGGGTTCTTTAAGTGTACAGGGTTGTGTACTGTACACTAGGGGTTGTGACAACACTGAAAGAGTCTGCACACAAAGTTGACTCCAGGCTTTTTCACATCCTGTCACAGGTGGGCTCGATCGCGACACCTCAAGCTCGCTGGATCACTAGTCTAGCGCTTTAGCCAGCTCACCTACCATGCCCCATTGAAGCATCTATGTGTATATAGTGAGCAATATGTTGTGTTCAGTAGGTCCTCTCTCTACATACCGGTAGTGGTTCTCTCCAGGGGAGCAACGGTCGAGGATGAAGTTCCTGCAGTTGCGGTGGGGACGTTAACAGAACCGGTGGTTTGGATATTTGGACCAGCAGTTGGACCTGCAGTGGGTATTGGACCTGGGGAACAAACAGTTAGTCGTGAAGAATAACATTATAATACAGTAATATGCTCGCTTACAACTCTATCGTATGGACCGATGTAATCTTTTCATAGCCTTCGCAATTATGCATGGGAAAGAAATAAATATCCAGAGCTACCTGAATGTGAAAAGTCAAAGCCCGAGAACAACATATTTTACCCCAAACAGATCTCATTTAGCACAAGAGGCAAAATAGCCTTTAACATTATATAACTCTATCACATAAAATATGTGATAGCACCGGGTGTCGCGAAGAAATGAAACAAATGTAACTCATTGCGTATATGTACCTTGGCATGTGTCTTCCCAGCAGAGAACCCTAACTTCATAGTCGTAACACTTGGAAGACAGCTGTTCGTTGTTGTAGCACCGGAGACCATTGTCCACATCACATGTGACTCTGCTCTGACCAGCCGCACTGGACATTGTGTTTGTGCCAGCGATTCTGCACTCAATCTGCTTCATGTTCTTGCAGACGCCATGCTTAGTCTTGATGGACTCAATGGTTTCCATGTCACCATGACCGGAGTCTGGTGTGTCGGTGTTGATCCAAGGAGACCAGTCACATCGGATAGCAATGTTCTTGTTGGTTGGTGTCAATGTCACCTGTGGGGTTCCTGGAAATATGATGCAATAGAACTCATACACACATACACTATACTCAGTGAGTGACTAGATTCTAAAGGCGATTTGGACAGATCTGCAGGTGTATCCAGACCTGTCAGCTGAATGTGGGAGGACATAGCCGAGGATGCATGTGCCATTTATGACCATGGAGAAACCAACGGGCATGGTGCTGCTAAAGCTAGAAACATTCCGGGCAGACAGGATTCTAGGGTATGACGATACGTTTCTGGTGTGCTTTATACTGAAAATTGAAGTGCCTTCCTATGCGAATTGGGGAACTCTTACTTTTGTGTCTCCATCATTGTAAGGTGTGTAATTGATATCCACTATTGATATGTCATAATTTAAATTACTCACCACTGCAATCACAGAAGTAGCGGACCTTGTAGTCGGAGCATGGCACGGGGGCGTTGTCTGCGTTGTTGCAAGTAAGACCACTCTTCATGTCGCAAGTCACCAGTTCTCCAGAGCTGTATGACGGGATGTCATTGGTGTAACATTCGATTTTGGTAACCTGGCCTCCCTTACAGAATTGAGACAACTCATCAGGGGTCATAGCCTCATGGTCTCCATTTCCTGACTCGGGCAAATCTCTGTTTACCCAGTTGGAGTAATGGCTTTGAGAACAAGATGTGACAGTAGGGCTTGCTGTTGGCTGACCGCTCAATCCTGTGCTTGGACTGGCTGATGGAACGCCGCTCTGTCCAGGGACACCTGGAGTAGCTGTTGGCTTACCACTCTGACCTGCACTTGGGCTGGCTGTTGGAAGACCACCTGCACTTGGGCTGGCTGTTGGTAGACCACCTGCACTTGGGCTGGCTGTTGGCTGACCACTCTGTCCTGCAATGGGGCTGGCTGTTGGTAGACCACCTGCACTTGGGCTGGCTGTTGGCTGACCACTCTGTCCTGCAATGGGGCTGGATGTTGGTGTACCTGCTGTTCCTGTAGGGGGTGAAGCAGTTGGTGCACACTGACAGTAGTACATAATCCGGTAGTCACTGCATGGCATTGGGAAGTTGTCTTCGTTCCTACAGACGACACCTTGGTGCTTGTCGCAGGTCATAAGTTCTCCACTACTGTAGGACGGGATAGCATCAACAGTTTCACATTTGACTTCCGTGATCTTTCCTCCTGGGCAGAATTTAGACAACTCTTCAGCTGTCATTGATTCATAATCGCCGTCACCAACATTGGGATGATCTCTGTTGATCCAGGAAGACCACTGGCTGTTTGTACACTGTACTTCAGGACCAGCAGAGGGAGCACCTGTGCTAGACTGTGGTGGCGTGGCTGCTGGAAGATTAGTTTTGACGGGTACTGGGCTAGCTGTTGGTGTTGGACAGTCACAGTAGTAGCGAACCTCATAATCGTTGCACTTGATTGGGAAATTGTCCTCGTTCTTGCAGAGAGCACCATTAGTAAGATCACACTTCATAATGTCACCGCTGCTGAAATACTCTATGCCATCGACTGTTCTACATTCTATCTTGGCAAGTCTTCCTCCAGCACAATACTGAGACATTTGGCTTCCTGTAAGTACCTCACGGTCACCGTCTCCAGTTGTGGGCTTGTCATTGTTCACCCATGGGGTCCATTGAGACTTGGTGCAAGATGTTGTTCCAGGGCTGGCAGTTGGTGTACCGCTTCCTCCAATTACAGGGCTGGCTGTAGGTGTACCGCTTCCTCCAATTCCAGGACCTGATGTTGGTGTACCGCTTTTTCCAATTCCTGGACTTGATGTTGGTGTACCACTTCCTCCAATTCCTTGATGTTGGTGGGCTGGCTGTTGGTGTACCACTTCCTCCAATTCCGGGGCTGGCAGAAGGTGTAATGCTTCCTCCAATTCCAGGACTGGCTGTTGGTGTACCACTTCCTCCAATTCCGGGGCTGGCTGTTGGTGTACCACTTCCTCCAATTCCGGGGCTGGCAGTAGGTGTACCGCTTCCTCCAATTCCAGGACTGGCTGTTGGTGTACCACTTCCTCCAATTCCGGGACTGGCAGTTGGAGCTCCAGTGGTTACTGGTGTTGTACATTCACAGAAGTAGCGAATCTGGTAGTCGCTGCAAGGCATTGGGAAATTATCAGCATTGTTACAAGTGGATCCACCTGCCATTGTACACTGCATTACCTCACCACTGCTATAATATTCAATACCATCGACCGTCATGCACTCGATCTTAGTGAGTTTTCCTCCAGAGCAGTATTGCTTCTGCAACTCAGGTGAGATCTTCTCGTAGTCGCCTCCACCAACACCAGGCTTGTCCTGGTTGATCCATCGGCTCCACTGGCTAGTTGTACAGGTGGCAGTAGAAGGAACCTCTGTCCCAGATGTTGGAGGTTTAGCTGTTGGTGCGCCTAAAGAGGAGGTAAGAGTCAATCAATACCTAACCTAACATAAATGTAAGTGATTAATCTCTGTGATGATTATTGATCGATGATATATCTCACATAGAATTATAACGGCATACAATGATTCAGAGCAGTATGAAAATATAAAACGTGAAAGCCAATAGATAGCCATTCGAAACATATTCCTTTGTGTGTTACAGGCGTAGTTCCAGTGAAAACTGCACGAATAGATCACGAAATTCAGTAAAGATGACTGGTGGTTTACGATGTGTTCATATGTCCGGTGTTACCGAAAAATGAACTAATCAGAAAGAAAATATGTCAGCATACAGTTAATGACAGAAAACGACAAAAACATTTGCCTACTTTCACACTGGCACTTGAATCTCATCTTGTAGTCATGACACTTCATTGGCGTGTTGTCGCTGTGCTTGCAGGAGAGTCCGGTTTGAGCATCACATGTCACAATATCCCCACTGAGATAGAAAGCCATGTTTTCCTTAACTGTCTGACACTCGACCTCGCCTACAGAACCACCAGCGCAGTGTCTATCGAGGTCTTCCTTTGTCACCTTTTCAGTCTCACCTGCAAGGAAACAATCATACACTGCACAGGAAACAAGCAGTGCCGCATTCTGGAGAAAACGTTTGCTGATCCCACAAAGGATCTGGATACGGTTATGGACACGTGTTCAAAGGATGTAGTCCATATGATTAGGGATATAGCTGGACATTATAGCTGTAAAGGCAATGTAAAACCTTCCCACTTCTTAATCATGTATACTATCACAATTGTATGAAAACGAGACAAAACTGTCAACTCTGTTCTTACTGTTATGAGACTTTGGAAATGAGTCCAACATTGACCATTAATGAATTAATGAACAACGTATACTCACCGACAGCATCAGGTTCGTGTCTGTTGATCCAGTCCGACCATTTGTTATCACAAGCCTTGGGGGCAGCTGTGGGCAGCTGAGACTTGACTGTAGGTGCTGCTGTAGGCTTACCGCATTCATCACAGAAGACTCTTATTTCATAGTCGGAGCACGTTTTGCCTCCCTTTTGATCTGTGTTCATACAGACAAGGGACTTGGTGTCAAGGTTACACATGACTCCGGTTTCTCCTGTCTGGTCGAATGGTATTTTGCCTGTAGCTGTTCTGCATTCCATTTTCTTGACGTACTTGGTGTCACAGATCTTCACCACGGTCATCATGTCCCAGAATGACTCGTATTCGCCATTGGTGTCTGGGGTATTGGAGTTGACCCATGGTGTCCAGTACATGCAGGATGAGGTAGATGGGGCGTTCGTGAAAACAGGGCTGACCGTTGGGGCAGCTGTTGGAATAGCTGTTGGCACTGTGAGTCCAGTTGGTACGGATGGCGTGGCAGAAGGAAGTTGGCATCCGTAGACGTTGAACCTCATTCCGATTGCTTCATGCCATTCCACTGGTCTGATCCTTATAAACCGTGCATTAATTTCGGGGAAGACGTTCATGAGGGGGGGTGTTCTGATCAAAGTTACCCTCGAACACACGTGGAACTGAGTCTGTTGGAGCTGTGTTGACTGCATTGAAAGTACGCCCGTCGTTGCTGTAGTAGACCTCGTACTTGGTCACCCATGTAGCACCATCAGATCGTCCTTGAGTAGAGACGCCAGCTATTGCATAGCTTGCACCGAAGTCAACCTCGATCCATTGCTTCGTGTCTGTGTATCTGTATATACACATTCAGGATATATCATGCACATTCTGTTAGTTAGCCAAGTGCTGTCATTGAAGTGAGGCCATCACATTGGGACAAAGTATTATGGGTATGTATTACTACACGAAAACTCAAATGCAGTTTCGACATTTACAACTTAAGTGTCTAAACACATTTGGGACACGAGAAACGCGTCTCATTTTGAATAGATAATGTTTATACGGTGAACTTTGTAAACCTAACATAGTTAGTGTTTCAACAGACTGGAGTAAAATTAAACACAGATACTTTCATTGTAATGTACATCTTGAAACTACTTGACCTTTCTTGTTCATTCCTTTATGGTGGGAGATCATATTCGTTAAAGATTTATTTACAACAAAACTTATATTTCATTACCCACATATGCAAAATGTATGAAGCCCCTATCTGGTGACATTGCAGAGATGTTACTAAAAGCGGCATAAAACCATATTCATTTCTTTCATTGCTTAATGCTTTCACACTTACTTTGGAATCCAACCTCCCGAATAAGCGCCATCCTTCTGAGTGTAGGGTCGTGCACGCTCGGCACCGGTGAACTGGTTGAGGGAAGAAGATGCTGAGAGTTGTCTGTCACCAATGAGACCAGGGTTTTCAATTCCCATGGGAACATCACATTCTGAAAACATAACCAGGATATAAACAAATGTGCATCAACGCTTTATACTAGCATCAGAAGGATGGAAGAATTGGCACAGGAGGATTGAACATCAGTAGTGTTGTAATTTGTAGAACGTACAACATATCCTAACTTACTGAGGAAGGATTGGACAATAGTGTGTTGACACCATATGTAGGTCCTACAACATATCCTAAACTTACTTAGGAAGGATTGAACATCAGTGTGTTGTATTTTGTAGAACGTACAACATATCCTAACTTACTGAGGAAGGATTGAACAATAGTGTGTTGACACCATATGTGGGACCTACAACATATCCTAAACTTACTGAGGAAGGATTAAACATCAGTGTGTTGTATTTTGTAGAACGTACAACATATCCTAACTTACTGGGGAAGGATTGAACAATAGTGTGTTGACACGATATGTGGGACCTACAACATATCCTAAACTTACTGAGGAAGGTTGAACATTAGTGTGTTCACACTATGTGTAGAACGTAATACATATCATAACTTGAGTGTGTTGTTATCTTATGTAGAACATACAACTTACTGAGGAAGGGTCCTTGTGTAGATTGTCCAAAGGGAGGAGAGGCTGTAGGAACGCCAGGAATGGCTGTTGGTGGCTTGGGCTGTGGTGGTGTGCAACCAAGGATATTGAAACGCATGGCAATACCGTCCTTTGACCACTCCATTGGCACGATGCGGACATACTGTGCAGTGATGTCACGGTTGAACAGGTTCCTAATTGGTGTGTTTTTATCCATATTTCCCTCGAAGACGGCAGGTGTTGACTCTCCAGGGATAATTGTGTATGGGGAAAAGTCTTGTCCGTTAAATCCATAGAAGACGCTGTATTTCGTTACCCATTTAGGAGCTTCGGGGCTACCTTGTGTCATCACACCAGAGATGAGAGTTGGCTTCAGGAAGTCCACTTGGATCCACTGTTTGTCAGTTGATCTAAAGGACAGAGACGAAATGGTAATAAAATCACATGCTTAAACAAACAGATGTAATCAAGGAATATCGTCCATGGATAATTTATTGATGAAGAATAAATAGGGAAGAAACATCTGATTGAGTGATTAATTAAATAATCTAATTAAACAAAGATCAATTGATCATATGATTACAGTGTACTCACGATGGGCTCCATGCTCCATTTGTGTATAAACGCCCTGCTGCTGCAGAATGTTTGGCATCAATAGAGGATGAAGATGTGAGCTGGCTGTTGCTGACAAAGTAGGAGTTCTCGATACCCATTGGGATGAGACACACTGAAAATAATATTTGCATTTGTATATATTTGGAATGTAGTGAGAGCCAAAAGTAAATGTCAAACGTGAACGACAGAGCTAATTCAATTTGAAATATGTGCCGAAACAAATTGCACATGGTCGTGAAAAGCAAATTGACGGTGAAAATTAACGGTTCAATAAAAATTAGCAATGATACTCAGTCTTCTATTAAAGGGTAAGCATCTGACGCCAGGAAGCATATGTCACTCACGCTAGTAACACAAGTTACACCGTTTGAGGTCTTCATAAGACATTAAAATGAAGCTCTCAGATCTTTGTCCCATACTAATGATAAGAAGGACTTTACAACAACCTACCAGATGGAGTGGTGAGTTCCGGGACTGGGCTGGCTGTTGGTTGACCACTCTGTCCAGCGCTAGGGCTAGCTGTTGGTTGACCACTCTGTTCAGCGCTAGGGCTAGCTGTTGGCTGACCACTTTGTCCAGCGCTTGGGCTGGCTGTTGGGCCTTGACCAGCACTTGGGCTGGCTGTGGGTACACCGCTCTTTCCGCCGACTGGAGGACTAGCTGTGGGAGCTCCTGCTGTTGTTGGTATCAGGGGATTAGTTGGGGATGGATTGCAACCGAGGATGTTGAATCTGAGGGATGTTTCTCCGGTAGACGTCAATGGAACAATACGGACGAAACGTGCAGTGATATCTCTGTTGAAAAGGACAGGAACTGGTGTTTTGGAGTCAGAGCTGCCATTGAACACCTTGGCGGGCTTGCCCGCAGTGTCAGTGTAGTCAGTGAAGGTTTTGCCATCGAAGCTGTAACTGACGGTGTAGGTCTCAACCCAGCTGTTGTCCTTTCCGGATCCCTGGGTTATTACACCCGAGACAGTCTTGGGCTCTAGGAAATCTACCTGAATCCAGGGTGTTTTATCTGTGGGTCTGTAACCAGAAATAATCAAGCTTGAATTTGTCAGTTGTTATCGTCAGGAAATACATTCATGCATAAATTGCTGATTTACTGTTAAAGAATCATATATATATACTCTACAATATAAAACACATTTCTATTCAGCTAAGACTCTCTACATTAATATCGTGAAAACGAACACTGCTTTTAATATATTATTTTGCTTTTACAAAATATGAACACCAAATTGCATTGCGTGACCTTGTTTGTATAGACCATCAACAACAAAACATAAAATGTAATGACTTACGCGGGGACCCATGACCCAGCAAACTCGTCCGTTCCTTGGTTGATTCGTGCATAGATTGAACCATGTGCCTTGTCCTTCTCCGATGAAGCAGTCAACTGACTTTCGCCAACAATCCTGTAGTTTTCCACTCCCATGGGAATAGTGCAGACTGGAAAACATCAATACTGTTATTTGAAACGAAGGTAGAGGCACAACTGATTGAACTGTAAAACTATTCTGCTAAGATTATATTAGATCGTCAGGAATACAGTACCATTTTTGTGACATTGTGGTTTACCTTCATCAGTGATACCGTGGCATTCAACATTCCAGATGACAAAGCACTGATTTGTATTGATTTGTGAACTTCAAGTTAACTTTAACATACAGTTGTTAAGTACATAGCATTTTTTTGCTGTTTGCAACCTAGTTCTTTTACCAACTGATTCTCGGTTAACGTTTTAGCTAATCATCTGTTAAAATGGCATGTATTAAATATCTGTACGTTTGAAGCAACATGTGTTAGGGCAAAAATAATAATATGATGTTGGTGATGTACAAATTTCATCGGTTTGTGACACTCACCTGGTTCAAGCGTTGACACTGGTGATGGCTCTGGCATGGTAACTCCAGTTGTCATTGTGAACCCAGGGGCAACTGAAGGCTTGGCAGTAGGTGTCAGTGTGGGTTGGACACTTGGCTTGTAGCAGCCCAGCAAGTTGAAACGCATTCCAATTCCAGCTGGAGACCAGGCGAAGGGGGTGATCTTGATGTACTGAACAGTCACCTGCTCGGGGAAGATGTTCTTCATGACGGTGTTCCTGTCGCTGTTCCCAGTGAAGATCATGCTCTTTCCTGTTGCTGAGTCTTTGATAGGAGTAAAGGTGAAGCCGTCTGTACTGTAGGACACGATGAATTGTGTAACCCATTTGTCACTGATGGAGCTTCCTTGGGTCAAGATACCATTAAGGACCTGTGGCTTCAGGAAATTCACCATGATCCACTGGTCACCGTTGTTGACTCTGTTCAAATGAAAATCATCCAGTATGTAAACTTCTCTCACGATAAAGCTCATCTCAAAGGCTATATTGAATAAAATCCAATTGTGTTTGATTACAACGAACCAAATTATATCTAACACTGAGTATCCAATATTTTGGAACTGCAATATCTACTTACTTGGGTGACCAGGCTCCGAATTCATTGAAGAGACGTCCAGCAGGAGCATTGAATCTGTTGCCACTAAATCCTGAGGATGTGAGCTGAGAGTCCTTGACAATTAAAACGTTGTCTAATCCCATTGGCTGGCTGCACAGGACACCTGTGAATGGACCATATGTCAGTAATATTCCAAACTAAATAAATATCACATGATTTTGAAATTTGAATTTGAGTTTGAATATTTTCTTTTGAGTAGATATAAGATACATACCGGACGACACTCCTGGTGGAACAGCAGTTGGACTTCCGGAAACGCCTGGTGGAACGGCAGTTGGACTTCCAGAAACGCCTGGTGGAACGGCAGTTGGACCTCCGGAGACGCCTGGTGGAACAGCAGTTGGACTTCCGGAAACGCCTGGTGGAACAGCAGTTGGACTTCCGGAGACGCCTGGTGGAACGGCAGTTGGACTTCCAGAAACACCGGGTGGAACGGCAGTTGGACTTCCGGAAACGCCTGGTGGAACGGCAGTTGGACTTCCGGAAACGCCTGGTGGAACGGCAGTTGGACTTCCGGAGACGCCTGGTGGAACGGCAGTTGGACTTCCAGAGACACCTTGTGAAACGGCAGTTGGACTTCCGGAAACGCCTGGTGGAACGGCAGTTGGACTTCCGGAGACGCCTGGTGGAACAGCAGTTGGAGATCCGGAGACGCCTGGTGGAACGGCAGTTGGACTTCCGGAAACGCCTGGTGGAACGGCAGTGGGACTTCCGGAGACGCCTGGTGGAACGGCAGTTGGACTTCCGGAGACGCCTGATGGAACGGCAGTTGGACTTCCGGAGACACCTGGTGGAACGGCAGTTGGACTTCCAGAGACGCCTGGTGGAACGGCAGTTGGACTTCCAGAGACACCTGGTGGGATGGCAGTTGGACTTCCAGAGACACCTGGTGGAACGGCAGTTGGACTTCCAGAGACGCCTGGTGGAACGGCAGTTGGACTTCCGGAGACGCCTGGTGGTACAGCAGTTGGACTTCCGGAGACGCCTGGTGGTACAGCAGTTGGAGATCCGGAGACGCCTGGTGGAACGGCAGTTGGGCTACCAGAGACGCCTGGTGGTACAGCAGTTGGACTTCCGGAGACACCGGGTGGAACGGCAGTTGGGCTTCTCGAAATCCCAGTCTTTGGAGTTGGAATTCCAGAGATTCCAGCCTTGGGTGAAGGGGTTGGGCTACCAGAGACACCGGGTGGAACGGCAGTTGGACCTCCAGAGACACCTGGTGGGATGGCAGTTGGACTTCCAGAGACACCTGGTGGAACGGCAGTTGGACTTCCGGAGACGCCTGGTGGAACGGCAGTTGGACTTCCGGCAGTTGGACTTCCAGAGACACCTGGTGGAACGGCAGTTGGACTTCCAGAGACGCCTGGTGGAACGGCAGTTGGACTTCCGGAGACACCTGGTGGAACGGCAGACTTCCCTCCCAGTCTTTGGAGTTGGAATTCCAGAGATTCCAGCCTTGGGTGAAGGAGTTGGGCTACCGGCAGTTGGAGTTGGACACCTGGTGGGATGGCAGACTTCCACCTGGTGTGGGAGTTGGACTTCCAGAGACACCTGGTGGATGGCAGTTGGACTTCCAGAGACACCTGGTGGAACGGCAGTTGGACTTCCGGAGACACCTGGTGGAACGGCAGTTGGACTTCCAGAGACACCTGGTGGAACGGCAGTTGGACTTCCAGAGACACCTGGTGGAACGGCAGTTGGACTTCCAGAGACACCGGGTGGAACGGCAGTTGGACTACCAGAGACACCTGGTGGAACGGCAGTTGGACTTCCAGAGACACCTGGTGGAACGGCAGTTGGACTTCCGGAGACACCGGGTGGAACGGCAGTTGGACTTCCGGAGACGCCTGGTGGAACGGCAGTTGGACTTCCGGAGACGCCTGGTGGGGCAACAGTGGCTGGTCCACTTGTAAGCCCTGAACATGATAGAACATCAAAACGGAGAGCAATCATGACATTCCATTCCTGAGGCTGGATTCGAACATATCTGGCAATTATTTCTCTGTCAAACAAACCTCTGACCAGAGTATTTCTGTCGGAATTGCCAGTGAACACAACTGTAGCTGTTTCCCCACTCCTAGTGTAAGGAGTAAAGTCAATTCCATCTATACTGGTAAGAACAGTGTATTTGGTGACCCAGTGATCCATGGATGGTCGACCCTGTGTTACTACTCCAGTAATGAACTCGGGATGTTTGAGGTCTACCTGGATCCACTGCTCTTTGTCGTTCATTCTGAAACGTAGGATGAAGAACATCAGACTCTTTTATTGAGATTAAGCAATCAACACCTCTTCTAAACCCTACCACTGAAACAAGTTCCTTTTCACATAAGATCAAAGAGACTGTAAGGTATTTCTATGTCCCAGCAAAAGACTTTGATAACTGAGATACTGACATACAATAATATAAACATATTGATTGTATCAATTATGGACAACGTGGAACAGAACGACTAGACAAAACCTACAACCATGAAGAGTTACTCACTTCTAATAAAACAATACTAACCTTGGCATCCATGCTCCTGCAAGGTTTGCTTCTTTGGCTGAACCCAGTCGTCCTCTGTTTGCCTCAAAACTGTAGTCGAAAGATGTTGAAGAAGAAAACTGGTCCCTTCCAAAAAGATCACGATTTCCTGTGCCCATAGGGATGTCACACACTGTGGAGAAAGATAACATTGTACTTGCATGTTTTAGGAGGTAAAAGTGTTCGTTTGGTAAGGTTATGTTAACCAAAAGATGCAAGATGTCAAAATTGAATTGATCAATTTGTTAAGTTTTACCCTCACCTTTCTTTGTGATTGTAATTGTGTTTCCATAAGTGGTATATATAGCTGTTGTCTTGGTAACAGGTGCATATGAAGGTGATGCTGTTGGCTTCACAGTGTGTGGTTTGGCACTTGGGGAATTGTTGATAGCATGGTCTGGTCCGGGCGTCGGCATACCGCTAACTCCACCACTTGGGGATGCGGTAGGAAGACCACTCTGGCCTGCGCTTGGACTAGCTGTTGGCTGACCTCCCTTTTGTGTAACACCTGGGCTGGCTGATGGTTGACCACTCTGTCCTGCACTTGGGCTGGCTGTTGGAAGACCACTCTGTCCTGCACTTGGACTGGCTGTTGGCTGACCACTCTGGCCTGCACTTGGACTAGCTGAGGGAACACCACCCGTTTGTGTAACACCTGGGCTGGCTGATGGTTGACCACTTTGTCCTGCACTTGGACTGGCTGTTGGCTGGCCACTAAGGCCGATGCCTGGGCTGGATGTGGGCTGACCACTCTGTCCTGCACTCGGACTAGCTGAGGGAACACCACCCGTTTGTGTAACACCTGGGCTGGCTGTTGGAAGACCACTCTGTCCTGCACCTGGGCTGGCTGTTGGAAGACCACTCTGTCCTGCACTTGGACTGGCTGTTGGTTGACCACTCTGACCTGCAGTTGGACTAGCTGAGGGAACACCACCCTTTGGTGTAACACCTGGGCTGGCTGTTGGAAGACCACTCTGTCCTGCACTTGGACTGGCTGTTGGTTGACCACTCTGACCTGCACTTGGACTAGCTGAGGGAACACCACCCTTTGGTGTAACACCTGGGCTGGTTGTTGGAAGACCACTCTGTCCTGCACTTGGACTGGCTGATGGTTGACCACTCTGTCCTGCACTTGGGCTGGCTGTTGGGATACCACTCTGTCCTGCACTTGGACTAGCTGAGGGAACACCACCCGTTTGTGTAACACCTGGGCTGGCTGTGGGCTGACCACTCTGTCCTGGAAGACCACTTGGGCCTGCACTAGGGGCGGCAGTTGGTACCAGTGCTGCAGAAAAAAACATACATTTCAGATCAAAAGGTTACACATAACTGTCAATTACATTCTCGAACCGTTATTTGATTTGACCGAATTGTTGCAAATAACGTATGCTTACCGCAGACTTGACAGAAGTATCTGATTTGGTAGTCTTGGCAGTTAAATGGTGCATTATCGGCGTTTTTACAGCTGAATCCCGTCTTCAGATCACATTGTGTAATCTCTCCAGTTGAGAATGAATAGGCTTGTGTGTCAAGTCCGAAACACTGGATGTCAGTAATCTCCCCACCAGAACAGAAAGCAAATTTGTTGTTCAAATCCTCGTGTGAAACAAACTCATGGTCGCCTCCACCTGTTGTAGGCTTGTCAAGGTTGAACCACTGAGACCAATATGCCGCACAAGTTGTTACTACTTGAGGCTGGTTGGTGGGCCCTGTACTGGGACTGGCTGTTGGCTGACCACTCTGTCCTGCACTTGGACTGGCTGTTGGCTGACCACTAAGGCCTGTGCTTGGCTTTGATGTTGGGAGACCACTCTGTCCTGCACTTGGACTGGCTGTTGGTTGACCGCTAAGGCCTGTGCTTGGCTTTGATGTTGGCTGACCACTCTGTCCTGCACTTGGACTCGCTGTTGGCTGACCACTCTGTCCTGCACTTGGACTGGCTGTTGGCTGACCGCTCAGGCCGGTGCTTGGCTTTGATGTTGGAAGACCACTCTGCCCTGCACTTGGACTGGCTGTTGGCTGACCGCTAAGGCCTGTGCTTGGCTTTGATGTAGGAAGACCACTCTGTCCTGCACTTGGACTGGCTGTTGGCTCACCGCTAAGGCCTGTGCTTGGCTTCGATGTTGGAAGACCACTCTGTCCTGCATTTGGACTGGCTGTTCGGTGACCGCTAAGGCCTGTGCTTGGCTTTGATGTTGGAAGACCACTCTGACCTGCACTTGGACTGGCTGTTGGCTCACCGCTAAGGCCTGTGCTTGGCTTTGATGTTGGCTGACCACTCTGTCCTGCACTTAGACTGGCTGTTGGCTGACCACTCTGTCCTGCACTTGGACTGGCTGTTGGCTTACCGCTAAGGCCTGTGCTTGGCTTTGATGTTGGAAGACCACTCTGACCTGCACTTGGACTGGCTGTTGGCTGACCACTCTGTGCTGTACTTGGACTGGCTGTTGGTTGACCACTCTGGCCTGTGCTTGGCTTTGATGTTGGGAAGACCACTCTGTCCTGCACTTGGACTGGCACTGGCTGACTGGCCTGTTGGCTGACCACTCTGTGCTGCACTTGGACTGGCTGTTGGCTGACCACTCTGTGCTGTACTTGGACCGGCTGTTGGTTGACCGCTGAGGCCTATGCCTGGACTTGATGTAGGAAGTCCACTTGACCCTGTTGGTGGTTGTGCCGATGGACTGCCACTCATTCCTGGGATAGGACTTGCAGTTGGCATTCCACTTTGGCCAATGGTTGGTGGAGCAGTTGTAATCTTAACCACTGGACTGACGCTTGGTTTAGCTGATGGGATGAGAGATGGCGTCACCTCATTAGAGCCAGTGTATACACCATATGTCGTCACAACGGGGTTGTAGGGTGTGGCTGAAACATAAACATAGTGATGATTTCATAACGCATTAAGATAGCATTATCGTGACTTTCAACAGATATAATAACGTTTTATAGGTTTTATTCAGCTAAACTAAATATATTTGACAACACACATATGCTTACATTGAGCACAGTCGCAGAAGAATCGAACTGCATAGTCCAGACACTGGCCATTGGACTGTTTGCTGTTGAAGCAGAGAAGACCGGCCTGTTTGTCACATGTGACCTGCTGCCCTGTCAGTTCATGACCTGTATTGGTTCCGGCAACAACACACTGAATGGAGATGATGTTACTCTCGTCACAGAATTTGTTTGATTTTCTCAGCTTGTCAATGGTCTCCAGGTCACCGCCATCGGCATCTCCAGGTCGGGCCTCATTCATCATGGAGGTCCAGCCATGGTTGCAGACAATGGTCTCCGTCTGTCCACTGACTCCAGCCACAGGAGACACAGTGGGGCCGGCAGTTGGAGTCACTGATGGCACTTCACCTGGGGTCGTCTCTTCTCCACCTGTCAGGACATATCATACGTAAGTGACAATATGTTCTTTCATGCCGTTGTCAGCAACATTTCAGTTCTTTCATGACTATATGCAATAGGCGAGTTTAGATCTGGCCAATCATTGACCTAAAGTGGGGTCAACTACCCATGCATTCAACTCGCCATCCGACATTTTCAGGGTAGTGAGTGGGTTAGCTTTAAGGCTGCCTTTAACAGTATTCAAGTTATCTTATGGCGTTCAGGTCATACATTCAAATGAAAAGCAAACCAAAACGATTCTATCAGCAGATTCCACTGGGTAAAGATATCATTAAATGGACAAATATACATCATGTATGTATTTACAAAACATATAACGACCACGAATAATTATAAAAGTGGATAATTAGTTAATAAGATATCATTTTGCATTTCGTGCTTTATTCAATGAAGTTGCACAACGATTTTGTTATGATGTAATTCATGTTGCTGGAAATAGATTAACAATTCTCAACACATTATTTACATTTGCATATCCCAAAGAATACTCACAGAAACAATAGAATCGAACTTCATAATCTGCACACTGTTGGCCTTCTCCATTGATACATTCAAGGCCGGAGCTGTCACAGTTGACGTGCTGTCCAGTAGATCTGTAGTCAGCTTTAGTTTCAGCAACTCTGCATTCAGCTGAAAGGACTTTCATGCATGTTTTCGGATACCCAGCAATTCCACTGACAGTTTCAACATCGCCATTGCCACTGGTTGGTTTATCGGAGTTGATCCAGCCTGTCCATCCCTCCTTACAAATCTGTACAGAGGCTGTCGGGGTGCCTCCTTGTACACCAGATGGACTGGCTGTTGGTTGACCACTGGCTGTCCTGACTACTGAGCCCTGGTGTAGCAGTTGGGAGACCACTCTGACCTGCACTTGGGCTGGCTGTTTGGAGACCACCTGCACTTGGGCTTGCTGTGGGAAGACCACTCTGACCTGCGCTTGGGCTGGCTGTTGGGAGACCACCTGCACTTGGGCTGGCTGTGGGAAGACCACTCTGTCCTGCGCTTGGGCTGGCTGTTGGGAGACCACCTGCACTTGGGCTGGCTGTGGGAAGACCACTCTGACCACTCTGTCCTGTGAGCCCTGGTATAGCAGTTGGGAGACCACTCTGACTGACTTGGGCTGGCACTGGCAGACCACCTGGGCTGGCTGTTGGGAGACCACCTGCACTTGGGCTGGCTGTGGGAAGACCACTCTGACCTGCGCTTGGGCTGGCTGTTGGGAGACCACCTGCACTTGGGCTGGCTGTTGGCTGACCGCTCTTTCCTGTAACACCTGGACTGGCTGTTGGAAGACCACTCTGACCTGCACTTGGGCTGGCTGTTGGCTCACCGCTCTTTCCTGTAACACCTGGGCTGGCTGTTGGGAGACCACTCTGTCCTGCACTTGGACTTGCTGTTGGCTCACCGCTCTTTCCAGTAACACCTGGGATGGCCGTTGGTTGACCACTCTGACCTGCACTTGGGCTGGCTGTTGGCTCACCGCTCTTTCCTGTAACACTTGGGCTGGCTGTTGGAAGACCACTTTGACCTGCACTTGGACTGGCTGTTGGTTGACCACTTTGTCCTGGAAGACCTGGGCTGGCTGTTGGGAAACCTGTTTCACTCATAGGAGGTTCAGCGGTAGGTGTTCCCTCTGGGGCAACAGTTGATGGACAAGCATCAGTACAGTATACCCTCACTTCATAATCCAAACACGTCTTCCCTTTAGGCTGCATGGAATCAACACATACAAGACCTCTGTTCAAGTTGCAGGAAACATCCATTCCACCAGATTTCTCATAGGATATTTCCGTTGGATTTTCAGGTGTTGGTTTAACTCTACATTGAATGGCTACTGGCTGTTCGCAGAATGGATACTTGAGACGAAGGTTGCTTAGCGTTTCATAATCACCGTCGGTCCCTGGTTTCTTTTCAAAGGAATTCATCCACTGTGTCCACATACACGATGGAAGGGATTCAAAAGGCTGTCCAGGTTTAGGAGTTGTATAACCTGGGGCAAGTGTTGGCTTAGCGGTGGGCACTGCAGTTGGATTTCCTGAAACAGGATTGAAATTTTAAGTTGATGAAATTACATCGGTTACATAAAAAAATCATGCTATAACATTCAATCAATTAAACAGAATTTTAAACAATGCATTATAACAAATCATCATAATGATTTAATCGACACTTACGTCCACATTCACAGAAAACGCTGATTTCATAGTCATCACATGTGCCTGTTGCTTGCTTGCTGTTGGCACACAAGAAGCCCTGTTTGATGTTGCATTCTGTTCCCAAATCAGCTGTCAAGTGGTACATTTTTCCTGTAGTGGCACTTCTGCACTGTACACTAGATGGTTTTGCGCAGAAGCTGTAGTAATATCTCAGCGCTTCAAGGTCTTCATGATCACCTTCTCCTTCAAATTCAAAGCTGTGGCTGATGGTAGGTCGATCAATATTCATCCAGGCTGACCATCCTTCAGTGCAACTGTAAGGCGCTTTCGTCATCACACTGCTGGTAGGAAGACCAGTCTGCCCTGGAATGGGGCTTGCTGTTGGCTGACCACTCGACCCTGGAAGTCCTGGTGTAGCTGTGGGAAGACCACTCTGTCCTGCACTTGGACTGGCTGTTGGCTGACTACTCTGTCCTGGAAGCCCTGGTGTAGCCGTGGGAAGACCACTCTGTCCTGCACTTGGACTGGCTGTTGGCTGACTACTCTGTCCTGGAAGCCCTGGTGTAGCCGTGGGAAGACCACTCTGTCCTGCACTTGGACTGGCTGTTGGCTGACTACTCTGTCCTGGAAGCCCTGGTGTAGCCGTGGGAAGACCACTCTGTCCTGCGCTTGGACTGGCTGGCTGTGGTCCTGGCTGACTGGGGAGACCACTCTCTGTCTGGCTGTCCTGGAAGTCCTGGTGTAGCCGTGGGAAGACCACTCTGACCTGCGCTTGGGCTGGCTGTTGGGAGACCACCTGCACTTGGACTAGATGTTGGGAGACCACCTGCACTTGGACTGGCTGTTGGCTGACCACTCTGTCCTGTGAGCCCTGGTGTAGCAGTTGGGAGACCACTCTGACCTGCACTTGGGCTGGCTGTTGGGAGACCACCTGCACTTGGGCTGGCTGTGGGAAGACCACTCTGACCTGCGCTTGGGCTGGCTGTTGGGAGACCACCTGCACTTGGGCTGGCTGTTGGCTGACCACTCTGTCCTGTGAGCCCTGGTGTAGCAGTTGGGAGTCCACTCTGACCTGCACTTGGGCTGACTGTTGGGAGACCACCTGCACTTGGACTGGCTGTTGGCTGACCACTCTGTCCTGGAAGCACTGGACTGGCAGATGGCGCTGCTAAGCCTGAAATATGTTTGACTTATTAGTTTTTTACAAACAAATAAACAAAATAGACCTTTCATTGAAAATTGCTAACTTTAAAGATGATTATATGTCAACATAGAAATGATTTGCATGATTACTTACAGTCACAGTAATATCTAACTTCATAGTCGAGGCAAAGTCCGCTTGGCTGATCTTTATGGTAGCACTTAAGTCCTTCCCGCAAATTGCATGTGACCTTCTGGCCAGACATTTCGGCCTTGGTGTTCTGACCGACGACACGACAGTCTATGGCAGTCATCATATCAGGGCCACAGAAGGAATAGGACTTCCTAAGGCCACTAATGGTCTCAATGTCTCCGATGTTGGCTTGTGTTGGCACAGAGGAACTCATCCAGGAGGTCCAGCCAGTACTCAGACAGGCAGGGGGCATTGCTGTAGATACATAGGCCGTTGCGGTTTCAGAGGAGACTGTATATACAGTTGGGGAGACGGTTGGTTGAGCTGTAGGTTTAGCAGAAGGGGTGGAGACTAACGGCGTACTTCCTGTGCAGTAGCCAATCCTCTTCAGTTCACCATTGGTACAGGTGCTGTGGAATCCAAACCAATATGTTAGTTATATACTAAACACATATAAATTGGGGTGCATATTTGTGCATATACGCCTGTGCGTCTGAGTGTGTATGTGTGTGTATGTGTGTGTGTGTGTGTGTGTGACTGTGTCCGCGTTTGTGTGAGGGTGTGATTCCGCGTTGAACACCAATGTTATTGCTTCTCATCTTGATGTGATAGGTGCCCGAAGTGATTCGGTTTCTTTTGTTTGAAATACACCACATATGCAATTTCCATTAGAAACATAAAGTGTTACAAAATATTCCCTAATGATTGATAATATTGTATTTATAATCTGTATCATAAAAATTATGAATGCCCATATATGACTTGCTGGTTTCATTGTTTTCCAAGTTTGGATTACAATAAATATCCAATGCATTAACATATCTGGTGCAAATTTGTACTCATTGGGTCTAAAGAAAACCGATTACATATGTGGTTCTCTACCATAGGCATATTTCAGTCTATACCAGAATGTAAATGAGCCAGGTATACAGAACTGTTAGCTTACCAGATCTCGCACTCAGATCTACATATGGTCTCGTCGGTGATCCGTTCTCCCTCCCTGTAAGCTCTTCCGTTAAGGACACAGGCTGTGGTGTTACAGAAGGGTTCTGGGATGCACTTCATTGGCGAGACGCTGCTGTCGTACACCTGTCCCGGGAGGCAAGCCTGGGCATCGCAACCTTCGAAACACAGGTCCTGTTTGCAGTCCTTTGTCAGTTGGTCGTACACAAGACGGTTGTCGCATGTCTTCTTCGGGCAGGTGGAAATGCAGGGGTTGTAGGTGAAGCAGTCGATGCATTCAATGGCTGCAAGAAAGTCGTGGAGGAAATATAGTGAGTGAATATGGTGTTAGGCCGCACAACGGGCATGACCTATTGTACTCATGTACATTTTAGATAATAGAACCCTGAGTTTTGGTTTTACGCCGCTTTTAGCAATATTTAAGCATTATCACGGCGGAGGACACTAGAAATCGGCTTCACACATTGTGTCCATGTGGGGAATCGAACCCGGGTCTTTGGCGTGACGAGCGAACGCTTTAACCACCACCCAATAGAACCCTGATCTTCGACGTGACCTTTGCAGAGCTAACCCATCTGTTGGAATGAAATGTGTACACAGCTGTGGATATTGATGACGATATCGACTGGTATTTTTATAGACCGCTTATTTTTAGGGAAACCAACTCTATCTGGACATTTTCTTTCAAAAATCATAATTCAATGACATACTTAATCAATCGTTTTGCAGATGAGAACTGGTCTTCACAAACCAGTTGTGCCTTTATTGACGTCGTGATATTATGTCCGAAATTTTACCCAAATGGGATGATGTTATTTTTAGGTGAAAAAACTATTAAATACATACCACAAAGCTCATTGCTCCTCCATCTGATGGGGACTCCTTTGACAGCGCACTCGTGGGCGTAAGCAGCAACGGCAGTACAGAGACATTCACAGTCGCCTCCAAGGTCACAAGCGCAGGCATCAAAGATACATTTGTCCATGTACGTCTGGTAGGGCACAACGCCGTGGCAAGGCTCAAACAGGTCTGATTGCATGATGCCACACTTCTTCTGAGCCCATGGTTTGCGGTGAGGGGCTGCTTCGCAGGTGTCGGTGATGACAGTTGAGGGGGCGCAGTAGTCGTGGACCTTCCAGGAGTCACCAAAGGTGGTGGCCTTGACAGCAGGAGGACCTCCCTGGGGCATCTGGAAGTCATCCTTTTGGTCTCCATTGAAGTTACCACACAGACCAGCAACCTGGGAAGATGAAAAAAATATCGAATGAGTGAGTTGGAATTAACATTAGCTCAGTGATATCATGTTATGGATATCAGGTTAATGTGGAGGAGAGGAAGAAGTCATTCAGGTCATAGAAGCTGCCAAGATGTGGGGTAAGATGCCGACAAACCAAAATGATATAATCAGGAGGAATCTACGATTGGAATCAATGACAACAGGCATCTGCCTTATTGTGATGTCTCAAAGTACTGGGCTTTATGACATTATAATGAGGCCTCCTAGTACACACATGCGACGCTATGTCAAACATTTACGTCAGTTAAGCTGAATTTGGAAAAACCCACTGACAATAAGCAATCTGGGTTGTTTATGGAATGAATCCCACTGGCCAAAAAGGGACTAGATAGGATAATGAATGGAAAATGAAAATAATTTATATGTCTTCGCGGATAAATGACACTTTTACATTTGCATCTACCTTATTTCTGTGTGGGGTACTGAGCCTGATGTAAAGGGTCGTTCCTTTGTCCCACTGCATGGTGATTCCCAATGTGGTGTTGATGTAGACGAAGTTGCCAACTTCCCTGATGTCGAAAGGTGAGCCGGGCTCGTTCGTGACTGGTTTACCACGAACAAGATTGAGACGGTAGAAGTTAGCAGATCCAGGTTCGCCAACAGAGAACTCGATGGCCTTGGTGCAAGTTACACCGCTGGTGCCACAGGGGATGTTCTCGGTGGTGATCAGGAACCTGGAGGGGTTGGTTTCAGTGGATTTGGCAAGGATGTAGTCGCAGTTGCCTTGGAACTCAAATGGTTTGCCGTCGAAGGTCTTGTAATGGGAGTCGCCGTATGTGCTGCAGATTGCGGGACAGTCCTTCATCTCACATTCCCACTTGCGACTCTTGCATGTGCTGAAAACAGACAGCATGGTTTTCGTGATTTGTCAGGGTGAAAAACATATTTTTTCTTGACTTTCTGTACTGGTCTATGGAAGTACTAATTGAATTATAATAGCATATTTTAGGTATACAAACAACATTTGCATTATTACTTGAATAGTATTGTAGTCGTCTTCCTGTGTTAGATTCGGATTAAAATTGCTTGTCATAATAGGCATGGGGTCAGGCTCAATGACTTGGTTGACGCATGTCAGGGTAGCCTAATTCTGGTGTCCCATGCCCTGATATTGCTGGAATATTGCTAAAAGCTCACTAAACTCAATCATTCACTCTCAAGATGGTGAAGTGTACAAACCATTCGTTACAGTCCATGACTATCTTCTGGTTCTCGAAGTAGGCTTTTCCTCCGTGGTGACATGGACACTGGCCGGCCTCCACGCATCGGTCTCCCTCCTTCACAAACCCTGGTTTACATACACAGCCAGGCTCACACGTGCTCGTGGTGCACGTTGGTGGGTCGTGCACGTTGTCGCATGTGACGGGGCATGCAGAGACGCAGTTGGTGTACACCTTGTTCTCCTCACAGAGAGACTGGATGGGCTTTGTGGTGGGCAGAGTTGACGATCCGTCTTTGCCGTGGAGGTTCTGACAGTGCCATTTGGCGCCCACGCATTCACTGAAAATAACCATGTTTTACGTAAGTTTGATTCTGATAATTACAAATGCAATACAACTGTGTCCCTGTTATAAGACTTTTTTCTCTTTTATAATTTTAAAACATTTTACAATTTTTTCAGAAAATCAACAATGGACATTTCGGCTACAATCGTACAAACACGATTTTCAAATTATATAAACAATGCATGACATGAAGACCAAAACTTATAAAAGACGCGCTGATATTACACTCCATTAAAGAAGAACATTTAGTTATCATATAGTAATGTCTAAGTTCATTCTGGAAAGCATGAAAAGGTGGCACAGTTTTTGAATTTGCTTCCCAAAATGAGGTTTTTGAAGATAATGATAAGAATATTGAGAGGGTCATTGTTTTTGTCTGGAAAACCAAGCAATACTTGTCTTTTTGTTAATTTTATATTGATTTGAGTTTTCCGATTTAGCCACATTATAGAAATCTGGTCTGATCTGATCTGATCTGGTGCAAGCTAAAATGGTTTGACTCTAGACATTGATTTATTGTGAAATATATGTTTACCAAAGTTCATCTCCCTTGATGGTGGTGAATCCAGCTGCATATTCCCTCTCGTCAAAGATGCAAGGACACTGTGTGATGCTGACACATTCGCCATCGTTGTTGAGAGATTCGCCAGGGGGGCAGTTGCATCCTTCCACACATCTCTCCTGGCAGGCCTCGCTCTCGGCGATGTTGCGGCAGGTTCTGGCGCAGGGGCTGCCACAGACTTGGTACTCCTGGCCGCCGGTACACACCAGGGCTGGGTACATAGATCATAGGTAGTGAATATAGGTTCTGAACACTGGGACGTTTGATAGTGGATATTGGTAGTGAACATTTGAATATTAGTAGTTATCCCTGGAAAAGTGGCAGTGGACAGTGATAGTGAACATTTAAAATTTGCAGTGGACAGTGGTAGTGAAGATTGGTTTATTGGAAATAATCTCTGGAAAAGTGGTAGTGGGCATTGGTAGTGAACATTTACAATTTGCAGTGGACAGGGGTAGTGAAGATTGGTATATTGGAAATAATCTCTGGAAAAGTGGTAGTGGATATTGGTAGTGAACACTGGAACATTTGCAGTGGACAGTGATAGTGAACATTGGTATATTGGAAGTGATCTCTGGAAAAGTGGTAGTGGGCATTGGTAGTGAACACGGGAACATTTGCAGTGGACAGTGATAGTAAACATTGGTATATTGGAAATAATCTCTGGAAAAGTGGTAGTGGACAGTGATAGTGAACATTTACAATTTGCAGTGGACAGTGGTAGTGAAGATTGGTATATTGGAAATAATCTCTGGAAAAGTGGTAGTGGACAGTGGTAGTGAACACGGGAACATTTGCAGTGGACAGTGATAGTAAACACTGGTATATTGGAAATGATCTCTGGAAAAGTGGTAGTGGGCATTGGTAGTGAACACGGGAACATTGCAGTGGTCAGTGGTAGTGAAGATTGGTATATTGGTAGTGGACATCGGAGCATTGGTTGTGGACATTTTGAACTGGTAGTGGAAATTTGGACATTGGTGGTGGATGTTGGAAATGTTGGTAGCCGACATTTGGAGTGAACATCGGTAGAGCACATGACAGTTATGATGGTGGGAAGCTAGTAGTGGACACTGGGATATTGGTTGTGGACATGACAGTTTTGATGGTGGGAAGCTAGAAGTGGACACAGGGATACTGGTTGTGGACATGACAGTTTTGATGGTGGGAAGCTAGAAGTGGACACAGGGATATTGGTAGTGGACAAACACAAACAAATGCTCGGCACACTGCAAATGAACGTTGCAATCCCATGATAAGGCAATGTGAGTCTAAGAACCTAATGAGACTAAATCTGTAACAACTGATGGTATTATATATGTCTCCACTCACCACACTCTGTGATTTCAGAACGCCAGTTGATCTTGATGCCCTTAGCTGCACAGGTGTCGGCGTATTCCCCGAAGTTGGGGCACATGCAGTCCTTGAGGTTTTCAGTGCAGGCACAAGTGTCATACAGACAGTCATCATAGAACTGATCCACGTCCACAACGTCATGGCATTCTGGAAGGAGAACGAAACTTATTGGAACCCGCTGACCTGGGAGTCTGTTTAAGGGAGTGAAATTTTCAAAGACAGTTGACCAGATCTACCCTTGAGTATCACCGTCAGATTGAATCTTTAATGCCATTGTCACACTCGCCCTTGAATATATTTAACTTCATGACTGACTGAGTTTGGTTTTACGCCGCTTTTAGCAATATTCCAGCAACATATCGGCGGGGGGACACCAGAAATGGAATTCACACATTGTACCCATGTGGGGATTCGATCCCGGGTCTTCGGCGTGACGAGCCAACGCTTTGACCACTAGGCTACCCCACCGCCCTTTAACTTCATGACTCTTGAGTATCATTGATATCCTGACTTTGAATATCATTGACAAAATTACCTTTGACTATCATATAAATATGCGAACCTTGAATATCACGATACATTAAAAAATAAATATCATTGATATACTGACTTTGAATATCATTAATACACTAACCCTTGAAAGTGTCACTCTTCAGCTTCTCGCATTCAGCCACAGCCTTGGCCTTCCTCTGAGCGTTCAGGTCACATGGGTGGGCCTGTGGGGTTGTAGGCATATCGCGACACGAGGCCTCAGTCTTCCAACGGTTACCGAAGGCGTTGACGTTTGTCTCAATGTCGCCTTCCTTTGTGAGGAAGTCGTTGTTCTGGTTGCCGTCAAAGTAGCCGCAGAGACCCTTGGTCTTCTTCATGAAGGATGGAGGGGCGGTGATATAGGCGCGAGTGCGGCCGTCCCAGAGGATCTTGATGCCGTTGTCAAGCTCAGCCTAGAAGTAAAGATTGTTCATTATGACGTCTTCTGTAGCCTGCGACTTATACAGTATTTTCTGAGAAACACGAAACAAAAACAAGTCCTGCTAGTCTACATGCATTACAAGTGGAAATGAGGACCAAGACTTGCTGAACAAAGACATTAGAATCTATGTCGAAACGTCGCCTATACAGAATAAAGAAGTTGTATATCCATAAAAATTGTGCTTATTTTTCACCTAAAAGAAGACAAGTGGAAGTGTTTGAAATTTTGAATATGTATTGAGTAGTGATTCATCCCAATAATCACCATAACTATTTCCTGCAGACAGATACAAGGACTCAGTTATTTAAAACGGAATGATGTGACCTCCTACCTGCATGAAGAGAGATGACACCATGAAGATTTTGATTCCCTGAGCCTTGTATGGGAGTTTGGTGATCTCCTTTCCGTTCACAAAGAGCTGGTGGTTGTGGTCGAGCTTGATGTTCATTCCGTTGACATCGAGGGTCACAGATTTCGTGCATGATGCCTCTCCGTGTCCACATTTAATGTTGTCAACGATGACGTCAAAGTTTGGATCGTAGATGAGGTAGTAGCTGCAGGTACCCATGAAGTTGTAGCGGAAGCCGTCGAAGGTCATGTAGTGAGGATCTCCGGTGGCAGAGCAGGTAGCCTCACATTTTTTGTCTGTGCAGTTCCACTTTCCGCCATTGCATGTGCTTAGGGACAAAAGTAGCTGTGTGACATTTTTGTAACACTGAAGTGAACAGTATACAAAAGAAGGCATGCAAGGAACCAGACACGTGACAATTTATGCAAGACAATAGGTCCATTGAGTTTGTATTCAAAATGAAGTTAATGGTTGGGTCAATTGTGCTTCTTCAATTGCCGTCCACTTATATCGACGTTGACAGAAAAGAGTTATTATTTGGATACACCTTATCAGCGAAACCTTAAGATTTAGAAACTTAGAAATTCTTGGAAACTTTGGTGATATATCTCTCCTGATAAAAGAGCGAGTCAGCCAGGGTATTATATGGGGGAATTATTGAATTGATTATAAACACATGTTTAATATATATACAGAGATGTTGAGACGGTCGTGACAACCGAAGCCTTCTAAGGATACCTATTTAACTCGTCTTCAAATTGATGAATTTATATATATATATTTGTGAGGAGTTCGGTACCATGTGTTACAATCTCTGGGAATGGTTTCTCCATGGTTGAACTCTTGACCGTTGTTGTCGCAGGGGCAGGTGTCGGCGGCGATGCACTCGCCATTGTGGAGAACAGTGCCGTCGGGACAAAAGCAACCGTCAACGCATGTGTCGTCATTACAGGTCGCGCTGGAGTCTTGGCACCTCTTGGGGCAGGGGCTGCCACATTCCTTGAAGATCAGGTTTCGCTGACACACCACAGCTGTTTCAAGAAGAGTGAGTGAGTGAGTTTAGTTTTACACCGCACTCAGCAATATTCCAGCTATATGGCGGCGGTCTGTAAATAATCGAGTCTGGACCAGACAATCCAGTGATCAGTGCAATTGGGAACCCATGACATGTGTCAACCAAGTCAACGAGCCTGACCACCCGATCCTGTTAGTCGCCTCTTACGACAAGCATGGGTTACTGAAGATCAATATTCTAACCCGAACCTTTACGGGTCGTTTCAAGTAGATACCCATAATGAGAATCTTAAACGTTTTTAGGAACATGAGCATGTGAATCGTGTTTTTCTACTGCAACAATTACAAATGTCAAATATTTAGTTTTGTCGAGATTGAAATGAAAAGTTGCTATGACGTATGCTAATTAGTACGAATACCAAATTTCGTATGACCAACATATATCGGTTTACGTTACAATCGAATTTCTTTCTCAAATACTTAAGAACCACGAAAACCATTGCCTTAGGGGCAAATAGAATCAAACACCAAACAAAGTCATTCTTGAGGCACCACATGGTGTCGCGTGTTTAATTGTTGGGTAGAACCGAAACCCACGAGCCAAGCTGTCGATAACGTCACCATCTGTCCATGACCAAGGTTTACTAATTTAGCCTGATCTACAACCTGTGCATCGTACGTAGGACGTCACAGCAATCAAAAGTTATCTCCCTTAGTTCATTATCTCCCAAGAGTTATCTCTCTCTAACGCAAGTGAGCACTACTCACGGCATCTATCAGTCCTTCTCCAGGAGAGTTTGACCTTCTTTGACATGCATTCCCTGGAGTACGCCTCGAAGGTGTTGCACATGCATGCTTGCTGGTCGCCATTGCAACAGTCGGTCTTGCAAGCTTCGATGTAGGGGTTTACGTCAACAACCTGAATTATGAAGATTTATATGGATATATAGTGTAAATGTGGGAAGAAAACCCGAAGTAATGAAGATTTTTAGTTCATCCAGACCACAACTTTGCTGCCGACTAACCTAGGAGAATAATGCGAACAAATCTCAGCGGATCCTGGTTTACCTAGGCTTAGCAAACAGGGCAAATCCTGTCCGAAAAGTGTACTGTACGTATATCTATGGTGGAATAGAGAATAATCTCAGCATGGTCTCCATACTTTACAAGTGTCACAAGTAACAAAATGGTGATTTACAGAAATTTACAATTTGTAAATATCATATTTACAAAAATAACAAATTTTGTAAATATCATATTTACAAAAATAACAAATTTTGTAAATTTAGGAAATGTTCTATATGGATGGAGGGTAGGACAGCATCTTTGGATGGACAATACTCACAGAGTGGCAGGCGGCGAAGGAGGCATCAGTCATCAGCTGTTGGCAGATATTGGACGCCCTGAGGGCCTTCTGGCTGTTTTGGGGGGTGTCCATCTTGCATACAGCGTGCTGGGAGACATCGGGACAAGAGGCTACAACAGTGACATGGCAACATTTGGTAAAGCACGTTCTTGAAGAAGATGAGTCTGTTCCACATTATGACCTCCCTGTCACATCTGTTTGATTTGTTGTATTTAGTCAGCTTTGGCCCATCTTGTTAAGAGATATGTGGTTACCTTCGATGCTTCTCGTATGAGGTACTGGCCCAAGCTTGTTACGTTTCGAAATGGTATCTGACTAGTGTTGATGTATCTGGACAGAATTTCTGCGTTTCGTAAAAGGTATTTCCCCAGCTTTGAGCATCTCGTAAAGTGTATCTACCCAGCTTTGGTGCTTATCATAAAGTGTGTCTGATAGACTTTGACTGAGATTTGATACATCTCGTTTGGGCTATCTGCCCTGCTTTGATGCATCTTGTAAAGGATATGTAGCCAGCTTTGATGCATCTCGTAAGGGCTGTCTGCTCTGTTTTAATGCATCTCACTTACATCCATCAAGAAGCTCCTTCTTCCAGGTGGTGGCGAAGCTAGCTGCAGACGTGACCACTTTGCCGGTGTCCGTCTCGAAATCGTTGTTAGGGTCACCGTCGTAACGTCCACACAGGCCACACGTCTTGCCTTTCAGATCATCGGCCACCTGCACGAAGATGGACTCCTTTCCGTCCCATTTGACCTTGAAGCCAAGTCCAGTTCTGACGGCGATATAGGAGCCGACCAGTTCGTACACAACACCATCGTGGGCACCGGGGACCTTCACCTGTAGGAATAAATGAACCAATAATAGCGGATGGTACCGGTAGAGTCGGCTATGCCTTTTAGTTTTGCGAATACTGGGGTCACCAATGGTATTTAAAGGTTCATTCCAGAAGCCTCACATCTTTGTCATGATTATTTTGCGCTGAAGTCTTTAATACTAGTACACTAATTGTCTTGGTGGTTTCCACTTAAAGGTATTTATCTGTCGCCTGGGAGATTTGTCATGGCTAACAAAGGAAGGGCTTACCCAATCACCTGGAAGGTTATGCGTGACTGAGTGAGTGAGTGAGTGCTTGAGTGCGTGCGTGAGTGCGTGAGTTTAGTTTTACGCCGTTTTTAGCAATATTCCTGCAATATCATGGCCAGGGAGGCCAGAAATGAGCTTCACATAGAAGGTTATGACTGTTAACAGACTTGCCGTTTGCAATCGCCACAGTGGTTACCACGACTGTTACTATTCTTTTGACTTTTGGAGTCATTTGAAAATTTATCATGATTGCAGAGAGGCATGGATTACCAATTACCAAAATCTGCAGAATCATAAATGTGTTCTACAAAAACGATAAGCAGTAGACTCACAGGGGCATCATTCCACGTGACCTCGGGTCCACCAGCACCTTGACGCAAACTGATTTTCGTTGAGCCCATGTAGATGTCTATTTCTCTCTTGCATTGTTTTCCAACCGTGCAGTTCCGTCGTTGATGACGTGGATGTCGAAGGTATTGAAGGCGCAGTCCTTGGCGAGGAGGTAGTGGCAGTTACCCTGGAATGTGTACATCTTGTTGTCGAAGGTCCTGTAGTGGTCCTGGCCCCATGTAACGCAGGTGGCGTCACCGTTCACCTCGGGGTGGACTGCAACGTGACATGAGTGAGTGAATGTCATTTTGTGCCATATACAGCAATATATACCATTACAAAAAGTAGGGGATATTGGATTTACAAGATTGATAAAATGCAAATGATGAAGCCAAGGAGGCAACAGATGATGCAGAGAAATTAAGGGAAAATGTGACAATTTATTCCATTCCTTTGGAAATGTTTCATCTGTATGGATATATATTACTTTTTATCATATGCATTGGCTAGTGGTATGTTCGCAAAATGGAATATCCCCTACTTTTTTGAATGGTATTATAAATACAATAAAATACTAACGAGATGTAAGACAACAAAGTGAGTCCCCTCCAGATACACCTTTGAATAAAAGCATGATCTCCGACCCATTTCAGTCAGCTGTTACAAGTTTACATTGTATGCTTCTTGCACAAAACTATCTTAGCGTCAAGATGATTGTAACCCCAATACTTTAACAAAGACTTACAATAGTCTTAGCACTAAGACCACATTGTACAACGTGCTTGACTATCAGTTCTCCCCAAGAATTCCCACTTAGTATTAGTGACGACATTAGGATTTAGACCAGCAGCAGGGCTCCAGATAATTTTTCAACAGGAAAACCTTAAGAGTACATTTAGAGTACTGAATGGAAATTAATGGAGTATCGGTAATGTTGTGTTTCGTTTCATATATGCACCACAACATTGCTACTCTTGTGTAAACAGGTCAATGAACAATAAAACAATACTTTTTCAGATAAATACGTCTGTAAATGATTCTAATACCATACACTATTGTTGCGGTGCGTATCTGCTACGTTTTCTAAATGATTTCCTACCGTATCTTGCATTTACGCCGATACGGCCCTTATCTGGAGCCCTGCAGCGGTGTTTCATATTACAGTCAGTATATACATGTGTAGTTGTGAGATAGCCGAAAAGGAAAACATGAGTCTTTTATTTGAGAACAGATGAAATCGACAAAAACAGTGGCACTAAATCCTTCCTGTAACATAATTCTGCTTTTGTATACTCACTTAAACTGCCCGTTGGCTGAACAGATGGGGCAACTAGTTCTGAAAGAAAACAAAGATATTTTATTGATTTCTTATTCCAAATTTTATTCTTTGTCGCGACATGCCTATTAATAACTGTCTTGAGGCAACAATCCTCTGATTGATATGATGAGCAATGTTTAACTTGTCGGATCATTTCGACAGGCAATCATTCGAAATTCGAGCATTACCGTTCAATTGATTCAGTCGCATATCACAACCAGCAAACGAGTCATACGTCGTTTGGACCAATTCTAAATCTGATCTCCAGTGTATATCCCCAAACCCCAAATACGTAAAGAGGTAGTTTTAGTAGGGTAATATTAACCACTACCACGTGTTCTACACTCCAACATGACAACGCACCTTGCACACAGTCTGGGATGCTCTCCTTGGGGGGACTCCATGTACCATCAGCCGAGCACCTGTACTCAGGGGCGGGGGGTGTCTGGAACTTGAAGGTGGGTGCGCAGCCCACAGTACAGACAGTAGCTGTACTGTCAGCCTTGCACTGGATGCTGCCGAACAAAGGACCCGAGGGCTTCGCGCACAGACTGGAATCTAATGATAATCATAACAATAATTATACACGTCTCAAAGATGTAACTATGACGACGATGTTTTAACTTGGAGGACGTCTTGTGGACAATAGTCTTTCCTTCATGTATTCCTATAATCCCGGATAAGGGTAGAATTAACATTTACAAATAAGTTTCTTTCCTGAGGGAACACTGTTGTGTGGAAACAGCCTTTAAAACCTAATAACAAAGTTTTGCACTTCAGAAGAAACAATAAATGTTAAAACTGATAACTTACGGTGCTGGCAGTGTGAGCCTCTCCATCCGTCTATGCAAGCGCACTTATTGGGTTCATTGCACGACCCGCCGTTCAGACACCCCGGGGAGCATACAGCTGTAATGGAACCTTCTTTTATGAACTGGGCATAACAGTCGATAGATTATTTTTGGGACTGGATAATCAGATTTTCATGTAAAAGTTCTTTATTCTTTATGCAGTTTATTGTTGCATCAGAGTCAAAGTCCAAAGAAATTTTTCATAATGCAATCAACGAAGGAGGGTGATAAAAGTGGCCAGTCGAATAACTGAACCGGACCAGAAGATCCGATTTTGTAGCAGCGTATTAAGAGGTTGTTAGTGAGTGAGTATGGTTTCTACGCCACTTTAAACAATACTTCAGCAATATCACGGCTTGGGACACCAGAAAATTGCTTCAGACATTGTACCCATGTAGAGAATGGAACCCGAGTTTCGGCGTGACGAGAGAACGCTTTAACCACGAAGCTACCCCATATAGGTGATGTATTTCATCCCGTGTCTCTGATTCTTGTCAGATTCTGGTCGACAATTCTAGTGAGTCTCTCCCGGACATTTCATTGACTGTGGTCGATACTCACGCTGACACTCGGGGATATTCTTCCCATCATACCAGCTTCCGTCAAAGTTGTCACATGATCGTTCTACGGACGCTTCATTTGTCTTGAACTGGAATCCGGTGTTACATGTGGCGGTGCAGACACTGTGGAAATACCAATGTGGTTTAGCACCTGATGAAGATGTGATTTTGTCTTGGCATCATAAAATTGGTCAATGACAACCAATAATTCGGAAGTGGTTTGGTTCCACTTCGGGCTGGCTATAACGAAAGACTTAAATCTATGTTAATTGTTGTCACCCTGCCTGGCTATCACCAGAAAGGATAAGGATGGCCTGGCTCGGAGAAAACTGTATCAGAGTTGGTTTTATACGTTAAGTAGAGGCGGGTGAGGTTAAATTAGGTTTTAACGTCGTGCTTGAGAATATTTCGCTCATATGACAACGTACATGCGTGTGTATGTGCGGCTGCTTGTACTAGCCCAGACTGAAGCTGGTTTTATGGTGCCAGCCCACTGAGATACCTTGGCGCAGTGAAGCATGAATACCCCACTCAGACACATTACACTGACTCCGAGCCGACCAGTCTTTGATGTACCCATTAATGTCGAGCGCCAGGCAGGGACCAACAAGTACCATATTTTAACGTCTTTTGGTATGACGCGATCGGGGATCGAACCCGCGACCTTCCGCTCTCGGGCGGACGCTCTAACCACAACACCATGGATGCGGTCTGATAGAGAGTAGAGGCATGGTATCTCAGTGATATAGCACTATAAAACCGGAATTGGTCCGAGGCTGTACTTTTCATTTCTTTCTTTACTTTTCCAAACCTAAAGTTCCATTTTCCGATAAAAAGCCCCATGTTCTAGGCCCCAGCCAATGACGTCCACTTACAAGTCGAATCCGTCGACACTGCTGGCACAGTTGATCTTTCCGTTATTGGGGGGCAGGCAGAGGTTGGCAGGCGGAGTTACCTACCGCTGGAATAGACAAGAAAGGGAATATAAGACAGTTAGTTACACGTGTAGCGGTAACTTTTGTTCGTGTGTCGTCAAGCTTGTCTGTTTATTTCGTTTGTTGTTTAACGCCACATTCAGCAATATTCCAGCAATATGGCGGCCTGTAGATAATCGAGTCTGGAGCAGACAATCCAGTGATCAACATCATGAGCATCGATATACGCAATTGGGATACGATGACCTGTGTCCACCAAGTCAGCGAGCCTGATCACCCGATCCCGTTAGTCGCCTCTTAATGGGTTGCAGAAGACCCGAATTCTAACCCGGATCTTCATGGATTTTTTTTGATCGGCCATTACAAAGGTGTTCATGACTCTCAAACCTAATATTTGTATTCTAATCTATTGCATCTCTTTATTTGCATGTGTGTAACCCCACACTGTGTACCTGGCATAAAAAACCTGTATCGACATGCATATATCGGACCTTTAAAACAGAAGTGAACGCCTTTTCCACCTCACGCACTTCAACCTGCCCCAGCACCAATCTATTAACTCTACTGTTCCCCATGTCAATAAGCCATGATGAGTCATAACACTTATCTACGTTAGTTGGGACAAGTGTCTACAAAGAGAGCCTTTATTGTGTATGTACTACACATTGAACAGCGTTGCCTTCCTGGAGTGTAATTTGACTCGTTTGATATACAACCATTTGATATTTTTACTTGTTTGAAGCCAGAGTATGTGTACTCAACGCACGCATGAAGTGGTTTTATGACATTTATTGCTTTTAGGTAAACATAGTTTTGACACCAATGTCATTTTATCAGGACGAAAAGAACGCTGATGTGAAAGTGATGCCAACGTGCACTGTAAAACCGAGATACAAAATCGTTGAGAACCTGGATTCGAACCCGGAATCATAGGGTTAATCTGCTCTCTTAACATATGTTGATCTCCTCAACATACACCATAAGCGAAGATATTCGAGTGTACATGTGCTTGTTAAATCTGTACTCCACAATTACTTCAGGCGATGTGACACATGCATGAGGGACTAAGTTTGCTTACACCTCGCGATGAACAATATTTCAGTTATATCACAGCATCGGCATAATGTTGAAGGAAAGTCCGAAAAGATAATGGTCATACAACTTTACAACTTTCTTGTAACCCATGAACACGGGTTTAATGGTGCCAAAACCTTGATACACAATCAGGGTACATAGTGGGTTCAAACCCATGATCATCGATTCCTGTCATGTCTAAGAGAGGCAAACTCTCCACACTGATTAACGGCGTGTAACACGGCTAGGCCACTCGCGTCCCCTACTAATAAATAATTCAACTATTAGCGATATTACAACTTACCTTCGCGCTTGACTCGAGCGGCCCTGCAAAACAGGTAAAGAAAAAACTTAATGATTGTCGTAAATGTTGAAACCTTATCAGAAGGAAAAGGCAAGCGATCTGATAAGTAAAAACTTTCGGATCAACTCTACGGGATTTGTTTTTGGGAAGGGTGTTATCGTTAAAACGGACTGTTTATCTGCATTTATGAAGCCATGTTTCTGATAGGGTTCTCCGCTTGTGTGAAGTATTGACGCACCAGCCACTTAAATACCCTTACACATTGTTTGCAAAATGCTGCCTTTACATAAACGATTCATGCAATCTCATTTAACCTTTTCAAATCCCAATTTACTCTTTAGCGGCTATTCATTAACCACTGCAAACTTGGTGTCTGACTTGAAACATACGGCACAACAACCATGTAATCCGCAATCTCCCAAACAAATTCACTGCGGTTTAAGTTTACACCAACACGACAATCTTCCAAATGCATTACCAAATCTGGAATGTCTTTGTGATTTAAAAGTAGTTATCTTAACAAAAACACCATTACTTTCCAGGATATGAGAAATTTGAAATAAAGAAATACAGTACATTACGTCTGTAACGAACATGCTTAGGGACGATTTGACGGATATAACGAACTCGTCTTTTGATCCTGGCAACTTACGTTATTTTTTAATCTTTTAAGCGAAATACGTATAACGAACTACGGTTATGTCGAACTACAATTAGTGGTCACGTTCATTTCTATATAATCGTAGTTTACAGTAGTAGTCAATTTTGAAATTAATTTTTTGCAATTAACTTCACAATTAGTTTTCTGTCGAAAGCTGAACATGAACACCGGGTGTCTTAAAGAAATTGCAAGTAGGAAAAGCCTTGTCACCATTGACGTCAATATGTGATATACGGTCGTCATATTTAGAATGATAAGACAAGATTAATCCGTCGCGACAATCGTCCGTATGTAAACTAAATATAACGACATGGACACCTCCCCTCTACCAGTCTCCCCCAGTGCATGGCTTATCACACGCCGTGAGTGCCTGATTGAACTAACTACAGATAATTGACGGTTTCTCACATACTTCACAATGCACATACAGATGGCAATGTGCATTACACTGCTTCTGGGATACTTGAGAATCCTTTTCAACATTTTGTCAATCAAGGACATCTCACAGTGACACAAGGCAGTCTAAATTTTGTAATACAATTTATTTTAAAAAGGTAATTGAAGCATGAGCCTTATATATACCTTTAACAAAAACGTTCTTAATCTCATTTACAATGTCTCCATTTTGACTATCGAGAGATTGTTTGTGTGAAACCTGGAATGAAACGCCTGCTTTTTCGTAAACAGTCAAACATTTACACAGTTATTTTTATGCAAGATCGTAACACATAGTCTGCTTTGGTACTTGTAAAGTAATATTTAATCTGTTGTCTCGAGAAGTGTAAAGTTAAAGCGATTTTCCTTTGAAACCTTTAAAAGTAATTTGTCATGTATCACATTGAGCGCTTTTGATTACAGAATGTGTTATCTGTACAACAATCTACTGATTGAGGCTACCTCCGTCAATGATAAGTTTCGATTAATCTCGTCAGTTATATTTTTGGCACATACAGTTCCATTTAATATAAATATGAACATATTTACAAAACAATATAAGTAAAGTTTCTAGTATTGGAATCAAATGCCAATTCTTACGTTATGGTATTGGTAACGGTTAATGGATCAGATCAAACCCGAAAAAGGAAATGAAAGTTCTGCAGATACATTTTTCACACACAGTAAAGCAGTATTTCACTTTTCATGACACAAGATTTATAACCTAGCTCATATAACTGTTATTTCAATATGCATTTCGATGACTGGATTAACTGATATGTTGCGCGTCGTACCATATCAAAGCCGCACGTTAAACGAGAAATATTATTCCTCTTGTGAGTTTTTGTGATACAAAATCAGTTATTTTATATCCAAAGAAAAGTCTTGATAGAAACAGATTTTGAAAAGTAACATTAAAAAAGAAACTTAAGCGTATTGAACTTGAGATGCTTCATTTTTTAAATATCATTAAGCCAGGAATTACACAAACATAAATATACTAGGAATATACTTAAACTGGATTTAGAATATGCGACACATATAAGAGAATGTTTTCAAAATAATAAATAAGAAAAAAATATATGTACATGACATGAATCCTTTAAATTGTTCATGATATAAGAATAAATCTGAACTTACTCGATCGCCGAGAAAAGCAGGAGGCCAAGACTCAAGGTCTTAAAAGAGGCACTTGGTGCCATTTCCAAAGGTGCACAGATACCGCTGCGAAATTCCTTTGGCTGATTCCCTGAAAGACCTACTAAAACTTGAGACAATTGGCGCCCTAGCGCTTGTGAAGTTACCTTTAAAATGCCCAAACTTATATACAGAAAGTACTGGCACAGAGCGACCAATCAGCGATCAGCTGACTGGCGTCATTCGGCATTGCTCGGTTTCCAAGTAAAGGCTTCAGATAACGTTTTAGCCTACGAGGTAAAATCTTTTGAAAACAGTGTACAATTAAAAGGTACATTTATTATTGACCGTCAGATCTTATTCTAATTTTGATAAATATGACTATGGATTATAAGTTTTTGTCGATTTTCGTAAATTATGAGTTTCGCTATATGCTTGGTTCAGCAGTTTGTTATCTTAGATATTACCTGAAGTAAGATTGCATTTTGTTAAACTTGGAAGAGCATTCATACTTTCTTATCAATATTTTGAACACAATAATCAGATGACAGCTGCCGTATAATTTCTTAAAGGGAAGACGTTTATACATACGATAAATCAATCATCTCCTGGTATTAATGAACACATAAGATAGATAAGACAGAAATTGAACGTAAGCACTTGTCAATTAAAATGTTATCTGCTAATATTTCATTAACTGTAAACTGTCCTTTTATTAATGTAGGTAGTTTTTATACGTTGTACTTCAATCAGCACGGTATGCTGTGTGGTGTGTTGACAATATGATTACTAATCTGTGGGTGCACTCCCTGACTCGTGTCCAGCTGAACATACCCGGACATTAGGTAGTGAGACCTACAGTACACGATTCTCCACAGGGGAATATAGGGTAGACGTGGAGAATGAATGTTGTACCTTCAAGAAGGACCGATGTAATTTACCGTGGTTAAGTTCAAGGAATCTCCTCCATGTAATTGATCTTAACGACAATAAAAGAATTTCCATGATCGTACGAAATCTCTGCACATTTCATAGAAATGGAAAATACATGATACGTTTAAATTTATTAATTAAATAAATTTATTACGTTAAAAATATTTGCTTGCTTTGTCAACACGATATACAAATAACATAATTTTCATAATAACAATATATCTCCTGGAAACAGAATATAAGGAAGACGGAAACTTTTAAATGAATATATTTTTGTTTCGATAGTAAAATCTATTTTTTTCTAATACGGAAATGATCTTTGGTAAAGGTGTTCCTAAATCATGTTGGAATTCTAGGCAAGATCTGCCCCTCAGGAACATAGAGCTTTATTCAGTATTATGGCCACATGACCAAGAGTACAATTCAATAAACAAAATATAGCACATGGACAGGTGAAAAATGTACAATTTATACAGGTAAATATAGTTTAAGATAAATTACAATTTTTTAGAAATTTGCGTATAGTAAGAGGTCAGTTAATGGTTTGGGTGGTCATCCTCGGTAACTTGCTTGCTTGTGTGTTATTGTACACTGACGGAGCGGGGCCTTGTTTGTAATATCAATAATTGGTTTATCTGATCCAGGTTTGGTTTAAAAAAATAAGTGCATTACCTCTATTAAGATTTAATCAGGGTTTATGCGTTCAGGTATTTTTGTTACTGTTGAAGGATGCATCGAATCAGTTGTCCTTGTGATTTGGGGTGGGATAGAAGGTAGGATAGATGACCAGACACTATCTACTCATCAACGGGTCTATCCTCTTATATTCACCAGACATCTACTTTTTATGAACCAGTCCATCTACTTATATTCCCCAGAGATCTACTTCTCATCAACCAATCCATCCTCTTATATTCACCGGAAATCTACTACCCATCAACCAATCCATCCTCTTATATTCACCAGAGATCTGCTTTTCATCAACCAATCGATCCTCTTATATTCAACAGAGATCTACTTCTCATCAACCAATCGATCCTCTTATATTCAACAGAGATCTACTTTTCACTAAACACTAATGCTATTCACCAGAGATCTACTTTTCGTCAACCAATCCATCCTCCTATATTCACCAGAGATCTACTTTTCATCAACCAATCCATCTACTTATATTCACCGGAGATCTACTTTTCATCAACCAATCCATCCTCTTATATTCACCAGAGATCTACTTCTCATCAACCAATCCATCCACTTATATTCACCAGACATCTACTTCTCATCAACCAATCAATCCTCTTATATTCACCAGAGATCTACTTTTCATCAACCAATCCATCTACTTATATTCACCAGAGATCTACTTCTCATCAACCAATCCATCCATTTATATTCACCAGACATCTACTTCTCACCAACCAATCCATCCACTTATATCCGACAGAGATCTACTTTTCATCAACCAATCAATCCTCCATTTATATTCACCAGACATCTTCTCCTCATCCAATCCATCCAATTCCAATCCATTCACCAGACATCTACTCCTCATCAACCCATCCATATTCACCAGACATCACTTCTCATGAACCAATCTGACTCATGATCCAATCCATCCATTTATATTCACCAGACATCTAATCCAATCCATCCTTTATATTCACCAGACATCTACTTTTCATGAACCAATCGTTGTTTAATCGCTAATATAAATAGATTATTTAATCATCTAAATTTTCTTCTTTTCGTCCTGTCTGGACGCATTGTGCATTGTTTGAAGGTGTGATGTATAACTGAGTTTTGTTTAACGTCGCTTTGAATAGTATTCGAGGTTTATCGCTGAGGGTCTGCTTGATGAGGGAGGGGAGCCCGAAGTGATGCAGGTCGTTTCCCACTCTAGTACTGATAAACCTTGAAACACATTGAACCATAGAGTGAGTGAGTGAGTATGGTTTTACGCGCTTTTAGCAATATTCCAACAATTTCACGGAGGGAGACATCAGAAATGAGCTTCACAAATTATACATATGGGGAATCGAACCCGGGTCTTCAGCGTGACGAGCGGAAGCTTTAACTATTAGGCTACCCCACCGCTCCCTTGAACCATTGAAGGTAATAAGGCTAAATATCACAATACACTTGGAACAATTATTGGCAAAAGTATCGTGTTTTGAACTATCGCAATACTACTTTGCTGACAACATATCCCTGAACAAAGCATTATGCTTCAAAGCTAGTATAAGTTGAACTCTCTATAGTTGTGTATTGTGGAGACACGCGCACGCATTACACGAGCAACACGCGGAATAAATGGAAATGTGACAGACATAGCATAACTGATATGATACTGTTCCCTGCAGTTTTATCTGATAAAACCGGGAACTGGTGTTGGTTATCAGCAACAGATTGCATCCATTTATTCCTCATCAACGCGTGAAGATCCGGGTCAGAATTGATCTCCAGCAACCCATGCTTGTCTCAACCTGTGAGGTGCGGGCTAGAATTGATCTTCAGCAACCCATGCTTGTCTCAACCTGTGAAGATGCGGGTTAGAATTGATCTTCAGCAACCCATGCTTGTCTCAACCTGTGAAGATGCGGGTTAGAATTTATCTTCAGCAACCCATGCTTGTCGTAAGAGGAGACGAACGGGATCGGGTGGTCAGGCTTGCTAACTTGGTTGACACATGTCATCGCTTCCCAGTTGCGCAGATGGATGCTCGAGATGTTCATCACTGGATTGTCAGGTCCAGACTCGATTATTTACAGACCGCCGCCATGTCTGGAATATTGCTGAGTGAAGCGTAAAACAACAAACAAGACATACCCTTCTCATCCAGGGTAACACTGCCGATTGGGTATCGTTACTCTTTTGACTCAGACCGTCAACCGTTGATACCAAGCTTCTTTCTCGTCAACAGCGAGTGTTTTAATAATAGTGTTTTAGTAATATAGTTTTAGTGATATTGCAAAGAAATAATAAATGCGCTCGGAGAAACGGTTGTCCATGATGATACATATACAGGTTGCGGCCATGTCAAACATTAACGCTGGTGGGCTCATGCATGGGGAGCTCCTGAAACCCCGTCTCCAGTTTCCACTGTTAATTACATCCCTTGCCTTGAGAAGACGCGGAATCTAAATAGGGGAGATCACTCCAATTCAGGTCTTAAATCATCTCGGGTGGGTTTTCTTACGTTCTTTATAAACAAAACCATGGATTAAAAGTAAAGAGGTAATCTTTTTTTGTTGTAAATCTTATTTACATTTTCGTGTTTGCATGGACTCACACGCATAACAAAATACAATGTGCACCTATAACTCGACCTTTCTTTGTTCTATCGCACCAAGACATGTATGTCAACGATGGCGTAAAGTGCTATTTCATCAGTTAAAAAACACCATCAACTTGTTGTTTGCAGGTTACCCTCCTGCCTTCCCTCATGCAATCAATTCGTCATGAACGACTGTTCAGAAAACCATTGCCAGAGCTAATATATTATTGCATTGAGTCGTTAAACACATTAGCCGTTCCAGTTGTTCTTCAAAAGAAGTAATATAATAGAAGCAATTTGATTTCAATCACTCGAACAAGACTCCGACATAACAGAAAGGTCTGTTCACCTCATGGAGGAGAGCTTTGCAAATACAAGTCCCTACGCCGTTTTGTCCTCCTGACGTTTGAGAGTCGTTCGCACCCTCAGTCAAATATAGTTGAAATGGTGATTTATTGTTGGACATAGCTAGATGAAAGGTTCGACCGCGGTGGGTATATGACGAAAAGAAAGTTCAGGTTAGTTTTAAACCCATTGTTTGCGGTTTGGGACCCCGTGAGGTTACAAATATTTGATAATGAAGACAGATTAGTGAGGGAGTCATTGTGATACAGACATACTGAGACGTTCGTTTCGGTGGCGCAAGTATATTGACTTTGAGCTTTAATGGAAAGGCAGTAAGTCCGTTCACAGGTACGAATTGTCCACAATTTCTGTGTTCCTTCCCAACTTTAAAAGGTCTACATTCTATATGAGTGTTTGTTTGTTGTTTAACGCCTCACTCAGCAATATCCCAGCTATATGGCGGCGGTCTGTAAACAATCGAGTCTGGACCAGACAATCCAGTGATCAACATCATGAGCATTGATCTACGCATTTGAGATACAATGCCACGTGTCAACCAAGTCAACAAGCTTGACCACCAGATCCCCTT